TACAGTTCCGTGGTACAAAGTACATTTATATTCTTGTGCGACCATCCATCTCCAGAACTCTTTTCAGCTTGCAAAACTGAAACTCTGTACCCCTTAGACCATAACTCCCCAGTCTCCCCTCCCCCAGCTCCTGGCAACCACGGTCCTACTTGCTGTCTACAATTTTGACTCCTCTAGGTACCTCACGTAAGCGGAATCACACAGAATTTGTCTTTGTGATGGCTCAGTTCACTTAGCGTCGTGTCTTCAAGGTCCGTCCGTGTTGCAGCACGTGTCAGGATTTTCCTCCTTTTTAAAGACTGAATAGTATTCCATTCTATGTCTGTACTGCATTTTCTTTATCTCTTCGCTCACTGATGGACATTTAGGTTGCTTCCACGTTTTACTACTCTGAATAATGCTGCTATGAGCATAGGTGTACAAATATTTCTTTGAGACCCTGCTTTCAATTTTTTAGGGCAATAGAATGCTGGATCATACGGTAATCCTGTTTACTTAATAGCATTTATTAATTTTTAATTTCTTGAAGAACCACCCTACTGTTTTCCCCAGAGGCTGTAGCATTTTCCATTCCCACCAATAGTGCACAAGGGTACTAATTTCTCCACATCCTTGCCAACGCTTGTTATTTTTTGTGTTTTTGATAGCGGTCATCCTAACTGATGTGAGGGGGGGTATCTCATTGCAGTTTTGATTTGCATTTATCCACTGATTAGTGATGTTTAGCATATTTCCACAGGCTCATTGGCATCTGTATGTCCTCTTTGGAGAAATATCTATTTAAATCCTTCGCCCAGTTTTGAATCAGGTATTTTTTTGTTGTTGAGTTCTCTATATATTCTGGATATTAATCCCTTGTTAGATATATGATTTGCAAATATTTTCTCCTATTCTGTAGGTTGCCATTTTCCTCCGTTGATAGTGTCTTTTGATGCACAAATTTTTAAAACTTTCATGAAGTCCCATTTGTTTGTTTTTTCTGTTGTTGCCTGTGCCTTTGGTGTCATGTCCAAGAAGTCATTGCCAAACCTAATGTTGTGAAGTTTTTGCCCTATGTTTTATTCTAAGAGTTTTTATAGTTTTTAAATTTTAAAGCTTTTTGACACTTTAAGTCTTTTATCCACTTTGAGTTAGTTGTTTGTTTTTTGGGGTTTTTTTTTTTTTTTTTTTTGGTGAGGAAGATTTGCCCTGAGCTAACATCCATGCCAATCTTCCTCTATTTTGCATGTGGAACGCTGCCACAGCATCGCTTGATGAACAGTGTGTAGGACTGTGCCTGGGATCCGAACGCATGAATCCTGGGCCGCTGAAGCAGAGAGCATGAACTTAACCACTACGCCACTGGGCTGGCCCTTGAGTTTTTTATATTGTCTTAGGTAAGGGTCCAACTTCATTCTTTTGCATGTGGGTATCCAGTTTTCCCAGCACCATTTGTTGAAAAGACTGCCCTTTGCCCATTGAATGGTCTTGGCCTCCTTGTTGCAAATCATTTGGCCATGTATGCAGGGGTCTATTTGTGGACTCTGTTCTTTTCCATTGGTCTATACGTCTGACTTTATGCCAATACCACTCTCCTTTGATTACTGTAGCTTTGTAGTCAGTTGTGAAATCAGGAAATGTGAGTCCTACAGCTTCATTCTTCTTTTTCAAGATTGTTCTAGCTATTTAAGGTCCCTTGAGATTCCATATGAATTTTAAGATAGGTTTTTCTATTTCTGCAAAAAAGCGTTGGAATTTTGATAGGGATTACATTAAATCTGTAGGTCACTTTGGGTAGTATTTTCATCTTATTAGTAAATCTTCCAATCCATGAACATGGGATGTCTTTCCACTTATTTACGTCTTCTCTAATTTCTTCCAGCAATGTTTTATAGTTTTCATTGTACAAGTCTCTCATTTCCTTGGTTAATTCATCAGTATTTTATTTTTCTGATACTATTGTAAATAGAATTGTTTTTTAAATTTCTCTTTCAGATTGTCCATTGTTAGTGTATAGAAATACAACTGATTTTTGTGTGTTGACTTTGTATGCAGCTACATTGCTGGATTTGTCTATTAGTTCTAACAATCTTTTGGTGGAATCTTTAGAATTTTCCACATACAAAATCATGTCCTGTGTGAATAGAGATAACGTTACTTCTTCCTTTCCAATTTTGAAAACTTTTATTTATTTTTCTTACCTAATTGCTCTGGCTAGGAGTTCCAGCACTATGCTGAATGGAAGTGGCAAAAGCAGGCATCCTTGCTGCCTCTCCTTTTTTTAAAATAAACTTTTTATTTTAGAACAGTTTTATATTTAGAAAACAGTTGTAAAATAGCATGAAGAGTTCCCATACACCCCTGCTGTGGCTGGGATGTTTATGTCCTCCCCAAATCCACAGGGTGAAACACTGATGCCCAAGGGGATGGCATTAAGAGGTGGGACCTTTTGGAGGAGATTAGGTCATGAGAGGGGAGCTCCCATGAATGGGGTTAGTGTTTTTACAAGAGAGACCCCACAGAGCTCCCTAGCCCCTTCCATCCTGTGAGGACACAGTGGAAGGACGCCGTCTATCAACCAGGAAGCCTTTCTTGCCTATTTATAAGCTCCATGAAGTGAAGGACCACCATTGACTTTGATGTTTCTATAGTCTCAGCACTGAGAGAGGCTGACATGCCCGGCCAGGGCCAGCAAACTGTAAAGTGCTGTAAAAGACAGTGAATATTTTAGGCTGTAAGCTAAGAGGCAAAATCAAAGACACTTTGTAGACACTTATCTGACGAGAGAGAAAACCTATTCCCACACATTTTTGATTAATAAAATTCAAAATATATAAATAGAGCACAATTTTTTTGTAATACAGTTCTATTAATGAGAAGAATGGAATTCTTTGAGGGGGGATAACAATATGCTTAATTGAGGTTCAAAGTCAGTGTTCTCTACCATCAAAATCAGCTTCAAATATTTGATTTTTTTTTTAAGCCATTAGAAAATGTAAAATCTAGAGCCAGCCCTGATGGCCTAGTGGTTAAAGTTCTGCACTCGCCACTTCAGTGGCCCAGGTTCGCTTGCTGGTCACGGAACCACACCACCTGTCAGCTGCCATGCTGTGGCAATGGCTCACATAGAAAAAGTAGAACAACTTACAACGAGGATATGCAACCATGTCCTGGGGCTTTGGGGTGGAAAAAAAAAGAAAAGAGGAAGATTGGCAACAGATGTTGGCTCAGGGTGAATCTTCCTCGGCAAAAAAAAAAAAAAAAAGTGTAAAATCTATTCTTTACTCATAAGCCATATGAGGCTGGGCTCACAGGGCAGAATTTGACGGCTCCTGTGCTAAGCAGTCAATACATTTTTAGTTGAATGAAAGAGGGAAGAAAGGAAGGTAAATTCTCCTGATCTGGGCATATTTGGCAACGGGCATGCCAGGCCTCTTGAGTGTTGTTACAGCAGCAGTTTGTGAGTCTAGAGGCAGAGGTCGTCCCTGCTACTTTGAACTATAAGACTGAGCAGCTTTGCAGGAGGAAAAAGCAGAGCACAGGTCCGGATGACTGAGCTTTGGAGAAGGGCCGACACTGTTGGTTGCTCCACATGGATAAGTGGGCCCTGAATGACAGACTCAGACATATGCCTTGCTGGCAAAGGATTGGCTTACAGAGGGGCCTAATGGAGTTCATTGCTCTTCTCAGTTCCTGGGTCTGGAGTCAGGCTGCTGTTCAGAGACATGTGGGGATGGTCAGGCTGAGCAGGCAGGCTGGCAGGGGTAAGAGAGGCGTGCTTGGCTGGGAGGCCTACCCACCCCACCCCTTTCCCGTGGGTGAGAGACTGGTGCTGGCCCATAGGAAAGGCAGTGACACACGTGGTGATGGAAATCTCCCTTGAGCATGTGCACTCCCATGCGGCCTCCTTCCTACTTGGTGCAGGGCCGGCCTGCAGCTCTGGTCTCCCTGCAGACCCAGAGACAATGAAAGCCCCCAAAACAAATCTCACTGGGCACTGAGCTGCCTTTACCTTAAAAAAAATCAGATTCGTTATAGAAAAGAATTTCCCCGTTGCTCCAAGCCTTTCCCCCGCTGCTCTCAGCATCCTGAGACAAGGGAGAAAGGAGGTCATTCTGCGAATGGGGTGGGAGAAACATTTGCACTCGAGGGAGCCCTAGTCATGATGCTCAGCTCTGAGGTATGTGCATTTCAGAGCCTGGCATGTTCCACTGCACAGAGCCCCCTGCATCTCACCTCAAATGCTCCCCAGAGAGGCACAAGCTGCTCCCTTCAGGAAACTCCAGCTCCTGCACAGAAACAGTAGCTTAGGGCCATGGGTGGAGCTGGAGTGTGCCCTTCTGGGCTGCCCCAGGCTGGTTCAGCTGTTCACCAGACAAATGAGAGACATGCAGGAAGCATGAAGGGCGCTGTGCACTTTGGGGGGCCCTGCCCGGAGAGGCACCCTATGGAGGTGCAGAGTTTAGGAAGAGATCAGCAAGGACCTGCTGCACAGCTAGGGGAGGCGTGCAGCCTTGCGTGCCTCACCCGGGAGAGGCGGCCGCTGTGTGACCACCGCCCCAAGCCCATGGCATTGTGGAGGCACCCGCTTGGGCTCTGGGTTAGACACTCCGGGCTCTGCTCCTCGCTCCAACCAAGTCCTCACCCTCTCTGCACCTCTGCTGGCTTATGTGCAAAACAAATGACCTCTAGGGTTACGATGAAGTTTAACAATTAACATAAATACTTGGGACAAGTCGCTGGTACATTGCAGGTGTCCAATAAATGCTACTTATCAGCAACATTAAGAGCAGTGGCCGTTAAGAGGAACTTTGGAGAAAGACTAGGGCAGAAATAAGTCCTGTCCTTTGTCCCGAGGAGTAGTGGAGGCCACAGAGATGCCCTGTGACATTCACTCAATAGCCCACATTTCAATCCTTGCACTGAGATCGGCTTTGAGGCCCTCCTACTGCATACCCAGCCAGAAGGGACCATTCGGTCCCCTCCTTATTCCCGCAGCTGAGGAAGTTAGAGACTCAGAGCACATTTTAGTACAAGTGGTTTATTTCTCCCCCAGGTGAGGCGCACATGGATCGAGCAGAGATGTGCCCACCTGGCTCCTTCAGGAACCACCCAAGGGATTCTGGTTTAGTTTACATGCATTAAAAACAACTCTCTAGTCGCCAACAAAGAACGTTAAGAAGCAACACCTTGACGTCGCAGAGTTGCCATCTGCATGCGACGCGGCCATCTGAAGGTGTGTTTCTGGCGCACAGTATGTACAGGTTAATGCAGGTGAGACCGGGTTCTGGCTGCCCTGTGGCCCCGTTCTGCCGTGGAGGCTTGGCTGGGGGCCGAGAACCACTCTGCTATCAGTGTTCTGATGTGAAGGTGGCTCTTCCAAAACCGAAACAGAGCCCTTGCCCGTTTCCCACCCCTCCACGTCCCTGCTTTGGTGGGCGAGGCTGGGGGGGCTTCAGCGTGGTGCACTCTGAGCTGACAGGAGGGTGGAAGCACCGAAGACCCTAACCCTGGGCCCTGAGCGGGCATAATGGTGGGTCATTACTACCTCCTGGCCAACAAGTTCCTTCTCACCGAGCAGGTACAGCACAGGGGCCCAGGACAACAGGGTGGGGACAGGGAGTGAGGGGAGGTAGGGAAGACACCTGTCTTCAGGTCAAGACACAATCGTCCCACTGTGCTGAAACCTTTTATGACAAACTTGCTTGAAGACAAAAGGGAGGGGACAGTTGACCTGGGCATGCGGCCCTTTCCCTGGAACGGGGGCTCTGCTCCGTTGTCCCTCTTAGCTTCTTTCCTTTCTTAAAGGGCCTCCCCTGAGGGGGATGAACCCACATCCCCATCAAACAGCCGCTTGGGCCGGGATGTCTCACTGATCTTTATTTTGTTTAAAAATCCCCGCTCCCCCACTTCCAGATCCATAAAGAACTGGCTGGTTGATGCTGGCAAAATCTGCAAAGTCATGGTATAGAAACCAGGTGTAAGGAATGAGCCCCAAATCTACTGTAAAAACGGGATGTGTTATGAGTTTCAATTCTTTGGATAATCAAAATATTTCAAACACTGAAAAAAAAAAAAAGAGTGAAGTTGCTTTCAAAGTGTCTGTTCATACCTGAGACCGCCCCTATCTGCAGCAAACAAACTCCCAGCCCGATTCTGGACTGGAGGGGAGGCACCGGAGGGCTGAGAAAGACAGGCAGAACGGGGCAGGCTTTCAGCCACGAGCCTGCGGTGCCCTGGCCCTGGAGCCACCAGCCTCCAATGCAGAGCTCTCCAATGCCTTCCCTGTGTGGCCCGGGAAGAGTCCATCTGGCCCCGGGAGACTACTTTGGACAGTGTCCGGTCTCATCGGGGACATCACCTCCCTTCAAAGCATCTCCTGATCAGCCTCCCACCTTTACCTGCAGGGAAATGCTGCCCATTCCTGCAGCCAGGAGAGAGGTGACTCCGAGAGCAGTCACCTGGGCTTTTGGCCGTGCTAGCAGGACAGTCTTGGCAATGGGACCCTTGAGCCTGACCCAGCCCCTCCCCACCTGGTGAGGGTGGGACATAGGGCTGAACCAGGCTCCCAGCTCAGGGATGCCCAAGCACCTGAGGGGCATTTCTGGTGTGGAGAGGAGGCCAGAAGAGGGAGAGTCTGGTCCAAGTCAGGGGTCTTCTGTCTGCCTGGGGCTTCGGTCAGGAATCTCAGCCAACCCCAGGCTGACTCCCCTGGAATCTCAGCCGCTCCTCTGCGGCAGCAGGAGCCTTCCAGTCCTGCAGCCTGAGCTGGGTCTCCAGATGCCTTTGGTTTCTATTAAAGAAACGCAGCTTGCATTTGCATTAATTAAAAACCAAAACGGATCCAGGAGGCAGGAACTCCTGAAAGTGTGTTAGGCTGGAAACTCATTCCCATAGTGTCTCAGGTGTTCATCCGCCACGGACAGGTAGGTGGCCCTCATGCTGGGAGAGTACTGTGAGAGAGAGAGGGACAGTCACAACAGGGTCACACAGGGTTAAACCAAACACCATACCAGTAAAGGTGCTGGGAACTCCTGATGGTGCGAGAGCGGGCCAGCCACAGCAGCTAGGCACCAAGTTTTAATGACAAGGCACTGCGGGGACTGGAGGATACTTGAGTGGCTCAGGCAGCCTTCCTGGCTGGCGATGCTTCCAGGCCTGGGGCCATCAGGACACCTGGCTCCTAGCCTCAAATGAAAGGCACACACACAGACCAGCTACCCTCCCTCCGCTGTGGCTGCCACATGCACTCCAGTGCACACGATTGACATGCGGGAGTGTCAGGTGCCGTCCAGTGCACTCAGGAGCCCGCCTAGCGAGCAGATGGAGGGCTTAGGCCCAGAGACTCAGAGAACCAGGTTCAAATCCCCGCTGTGCCTCTTACTCATCCCATGACCTTGGCTGAGGTTCGCTAACCTCTCCAAGCCTCAGTTTCCCCACCTGCAAAATGGACCTGAGAGCACTCAGCAATTACGTTGAAAGGATGAAATGATGCAGGGCAGGTGAAACCCTTCACATGGCAGGTCTCAACTTGGCTGCATGTCAGAAACACCCCGGGGGGCTGAACGTCCCCAGGCCGCACCCACCTGTAGCTTTTCATTGAGGTAAAATGAACACAACGTAAAATTGAGCATTTTAAAGTGCCGCCCTCGTTAGTTTTTAACCTCACACAAAGCGAGTGCTCAACAGACGTGGCTTCTTGCATCCCCACACTGTGGTCACAGGACCCAAGTCCGCATCTAATGCGCCCCAGATGCTGCTGGCCTGCTGTCTCCTGGCCACAGGGAAGTTTCCGGGGTCCAGGTCCAGGCCATTCACACCAGAGAGGGGACGGATGCCTCCAGCTGAGGGGAGATTTTGTCACTGACTAGTTGCCCTGAAGAACTCAAGGGTGGGTCTGGAAGCATTTATCTGTTGTTCCAAATTCTTTTTCCTTTTGTTGCGTTGAGACACAATCACCAACCACCCTGAACCAGACCAAGCCTCACCTACAGCCCTTGCCTTATTTTTAAGGCTAAAATCTCTCCAGGAGGAGCTTAGGCCTTATTATCCTAACCTACAGTGCATGTGGAAGCGTGTTTACCCACCTCTCTCTTTTGCATATCCATTCCCCATCCGAAACAAAAGGTCCCTGCTCCCCTTTGTTCGGGGAACCATGACGCTGGAAATGATTCCAGATGGTCTGCTATTTGCTGCAATATACCTCACTTTGTGAGACACCTGCTTCTGATAGAGTCGGATTGAACTTGCCAGGAGGGAACCCACTTCAGTTTCGGGAACAGGAGATTCCTTAACCCAGTGGGTCTCAACCGGGGGCGATTTTGCCCACAGGGACACTTGGCAATATCCAGAGGCATTTCTAGTTGTCACATTGGCGGGTAGGGAGTGAGAAGTGCTTCTGACATCGAGTGGGTAGAGGCCCGGGATGCTGCTAAACATCTGGGAGTGCCCAGCGTGGCCCATGACACACAATGATCGCGCCCGAAAGGTCAATGATGTGGACAGTGAGGGGCCTGCCCTGGAGCAGGGGGTCTCCAGCCGTGCTTCCCAGACCAGCAGCCTCAGCTTTCCTGGGAACGTGTTAGAAACGCAAATCCTGGCCCAGCCCCGGTTTCCTGAATCAGAACAGGGTGGGCCCATCGGCCTGTGTTCTAACAAGTCCTCCAGGTGATGCTGAGGCCCGTTCCGTGACCTCCTCCTTGAACAGAGCTTCCCAGACTCGCTTGATGGTCAGCATCCCCTGGGCACCTGCTGGAGATTCTGTCTCCGGAGTCTGGAGGGAAGTCCTGCTACTGGAATTTGTAACAGCTGCCCAGGGCAGTTTTGTCCCTCAAGTCTAGGACACGGTGCCCGAAGGATAAGAGGGATGCCTGGAAGGCAGAGCTAAGGGAAGACGCATTTCTAGCCAAGGCGACAGGCCGTACATTCTGATGACTTTGCTTGATATCACCCACCGAAATGAAATCCTCCTCTGTCCCCGAGATGGGGCTGGGAGAGGGAGGGATTTATCAGTGTCAAAGGCACCGAGCACTGGTGAATCCACTGAGTACTGGTGAATCGAGAGAGCAGGCGCGGGGAGGGTGGGCTTTACTGGGGCGCAGGTCCACGCCTCCAGCCAGTGCGGCCTCGGCCTCCGGGCAGCAGCACCAGCAGGAGTGTCTTCCTGCCCGTGCAGGTAGGAGGGTGGGGTCTTCCCCGGGGCAGGGCGGTCAACTCTGTCAGAGCAATCAGGGTTTCTGGGCAGGTGTTAATTATAGGGAGGAAGGGGGATTCTGTCCTTGAGCCTTGCAAATAAGGTCAGTCCTTGATTATCTCTGCTAATGAAACCAAGAATGGAAGAAGTTAAAAAAATCTCCCCAGAGCAAAATCTGTGAGATGAGCTTTGCTAACTGCACCTGTGCATGTTCGGCATAATCAACTGTTGTTTGAACTACCAGGTCTCTCCGGCCCTCTAGCACAGAGTGAGCTGTCTTTCCCAGGAAGTCAAGGTCCAGACATCAAGATTCGGCCTCACAAGGCCAAACACAGGCTGAAGATGAAAACAACCAGCAAAGTCCACACCGTCAGGGAAAAGAAACTCAGTCTTCAAGGCCAAACGCAGGCTGGCGGGAAGGCGCCAGCCAGCAAGGCCACACGCTCTCCCTCCCCTACCTGAAACCCCAGATAAAAACCCCTACCTTTTGCCCTTTGAGGAGGTGGGTCTGAGTGTATTTTTCATTTTTGTTGTCGTTGTTGAGGAGGACTGGCCCCGAGCTAACATCTGTTGCCAATCCTCCTCTTTTTGCTTGAGGAAGATTGTCCCTGGGCTAACATCTGTGCCAATCTTCCTCTATTTTGTATGTGGGACACTGCCACAGTGTGGCTTGATGAACAGTACACAGGTATGCACCTTGGATCCGAACCTGCGAACCCCGGGCCGCTGAGAAGCGGAACATGTGAACTTAACCGCTGCGCCACCGGGCAGGCCCCTGGATCTTAGTTTTAACTCCCATCTTCTTATCTGGCTGCCTTTTGATAGTAAACCTCTTTCCCTGCCATAAGCCTGGCATCCCAGTCGTTAGCCCTCCTGTGCGGCGGGTAAACAAGCCCGTGTTTGTGTTCGGTAACACTAATGGCAGGGGGAGCGGCCTGAATCTTTCAAAAGGGAAGGTAATAGGAAAATGACTTATTTGGCATCACAGTGCTCTGAGCAATTCATTTTTCACAGCAGATTTCTCCTAATTTTGTTGCGCTCAGATTAATATTAAAATCAAATCTGTATGCCTGGGTCCACAGGAGGAAAAAGGAACCCAGGAGGCTTCTGGTTAGAGAGAGAAGCCAGGTTGAGATTTAAAAGGTGCCGACTCTGAATGAGGGCTTTGACCAGCCCACTCGCCCTGCCTGAGGACCCCAGGACGCCAGAGCTGGGCCTGGGTGTAGCGCTGTCTGTGGAAGGACAGCTGGGAGGCGCTCTGGGCAAAACCAGCAAGGTGGCGTCATGGCAGGGGAAGATGGATCAGTCAGATCGCTTTCTCACCAGGACACCGTGGACATTTGGGGCCGATCATTCTTTGTGGTGGAGGCTGTCCTGTGTTCTCTGGGTGCATAGCAGCATCCCTGGCCTCTACCCGCTAGATGCCAGTAGCAACTACCCCCAGTTGTGACAATGAAAAATGCCTGCAGTCATGGCCAAATGTCCCCTGGGGGGCAAAACTGCCCCTGGGTGAGCCCCACTGCACTAAGGTATGGATCTCCCCCCCAACAGATGATACACTTCCTGCGGACGGGTTGGGGTCCTGTCTCTCTCCCCGCGTCCGGCACCATGGTTTTCACCGAGAGCGCTGGCTGGATGCCTGTGAACGTATGTGAGCATCCTGGTTCTCGGGGCCCAGGCCCCTGTCATCAGGCCCGTGTCCTTGGGTCTCCTGTGTCCTAGTTCCCCACTTGGACAGCCCCTTCCAAACACCTGGATGGGCACGTGAGACACCTCCAGCCGAGTGAGGCAGGGGCTCCCTCCCCGACAGACACCTGCCTCAAGAACTCTGCTGCCCACCCCTGTCGCAGACTTCCAGCCTTGTCTTGGACCTCCCCTTTCTTATCAGTGCCATACCTCTGAGAAGGTGGGGCGGGAGGAAGCACATGTGATGACAGGAGGGGGTAACAAAACAAGCAGCTCACTCTCACAGCACTTACTGGGCCACACACCTGCTTTTATGAGGACTGATTCCTCGGACACTCAGACCACCTACACACTATATGCTATTACCCTTCCCATTCTACAGATGGGAAAACTGAGGCACAGCAGTGAAGTGCCTGTCCAAGGTCACAGAGGTCATAGGCAACGAGCTGGGATTTGAACCCTGGCATTTGGCACTGGAGCCTGTGTCCTTGAACCTCGACAGTCTACCGTCTCTGCTTGCAGCCATCTCTGTCTCAGCCGGTATCCCTGCCACCCTAGTATTTCTCTTGGAGAAGACAGCATCGTCTTTTCTTCTCCACTTGCCCAGCCCTCACCGCAGACTCCTACCCTGATGCTGCCATCTGGGTTCCCTGGCTGGAGGGGGAGGGTGGCAGGTGGGAGGCACAGACCCCACTTGGGCACGTCCTTGGGCCCTGGGGAGGCGAGTGGGGTTGAGGAAGGCTGGGTCTGGTATGAGCCCTCCCGGACCCACCACAGCAGCCCCACCCTCCAGCCCAGGGTGGAAGGATAAGCATAAACTGAAAAGAAAAATTTCCCTAAAGCAAAAAACTTCTCTCTCTCTTTTTAGAGCATTTGGTTTAGGAAACTTATCATTGTAAATTATCTCTCCCTCCCTTTGAGATGTACATAAATACCTTTTTAAAGGCTGAATAAGGTTCCTGGCAGTTTCACAACCCAGGGACATTTTCTTAAGGGTGTGGGAGCCATCTCTTTGAAATGCAAGCATCAGGGAAGACGCCTCCTAGCTCTGTGGCAATCAGTGAACACTGATGACCACCCCAACTAGCAGGCGGAATGAGGATGGACTAGGGTGACAAACAGTGCTGTGGAGCCCTCTTGCCGGAGGACAGGTGTGCAGCGGGGTATGTGTGCTGCCTGCCTAGGGCGAGCTTTCTCTCTGTGCAGTGTCTTCAGCAGACTGCTTGTGACGTGCACGTGGGTCTGTTTAATGCATATTCAGGAACAGAACTGTTTCCTTTTTCTACCTTTGTGCACGGGATTCTCTGGGTTGGCAGAGGTCTTATCTGTATTTCCCCAACAAGGGCCACAGCCGTGGCTCTGCTCGGGAGCCCCGGTTACCGTGGGAGGCGGGGAGCCTCTTCCAATGAGTGGCACGTTCTCGTAGCGCGGGTTCCCACCAAACAGCACCGCCTGGTTCCTGGGGGCGGAGAGGGAGCTCATGAGGGGAAAGCAAGGGGTGGGAGCGGTGTGCAGATTCCTACAGGAGGGTACCAGGGGGGTGTGCATATGGGAGTGGGAGTGGAAACAGACCATGGACAGAGTGGAGGGAGTGTGGGCAGGAAGAGAGGGGAAGGAGCTCTCCAGGAGGCCCAGGGAGAAGCAGCAGATGGGGTGACAGGGGCCGGGAGCAGTGTGGCCTGGAGAAATGCAGCTCTCAGCCCTAGGATCCCCCATGGGCTTGAGGCAAAGGGCCCGACATCTGCAGTGGGCTCTTCCTCCAGGACACATGGGTGTGCCGGGGTGACCAGATACACCAGGCATCCGGCGGCTGCAGGGGCGCCCAGGCTGGCCTCTGATGCCTTCATCCCCACCCGGCTCTCTGGACCCAAGCATGTTATCCACAGATCCAGCCCAGATATGTGGGGGAGGTGCAAGGGGAGGCCCGGGGGGGCCCGGCCGTACATGTACTCTGAGACGGGGGCGTTGGAGATGGTCTGGGCGGGGGGCTGCAGGCTGGTCTGGCTGCCCAGGCCGCTGCTGTAGCTGCAGAAGCTGCGAAGCTGCCCCCGAGGAGGGTTGTGGGCGGCGATGCGGCGGGCCTGGGGGTTGAAGGGGTCGTCATCATCGATGTCATCGTAGTCTCTGTCCCTACAACATGTAGGATACAGCCAGCCATGAGGTGCAACGGAGACTCCGAGGCAGCGGGCTCCTGGCCTGCTTCCCAATCTTTCCTCCCAGGACTCTCTCTCTGGCCACAAGTGTCTCCTTGAGGTTCTTCTAAAAGTGGTCCTCAGCCCTGCCTCACACAGATCACTCTGCCCAGTTCCCAACTTCACGTCCACCTCCTCCAGGCAGCCTACCATGCTGACCGCGTGCACACTGGCCCTCCCTACCCTGCTTCCTCTTGTCTGATTTACTCTCAAGGTGCTGAAACACCATCTTGTCTCTGTCCCTCTACCTGAGACTGCACCTTCCCTGACAACAACGCTACAATCCATCCTTCCTGGCATTCCAGGACACCCCTCCCAGCACCGGAAGCTCTCCTCGTCATCTCACACCACAAAGTCCTGTGGAGAAAGAGAGGACAAGCAAGGGATGCCAGGATGTGGCATCAGGGCTGTCACCATCCTCAGCCCCGCTCTTGCCCTGGGCCCCCCCAAAGCTCTTGTTGGGGTCCTGACTGTCTAGACTCTCAGTGAAGCTTCTGAAGAAATCCAGCCAGCCAGCTGGGGCTGAATGCCTGGGCCCCCTGCTGCCCTTGTCCGTTCCAGGTTATCAGCTCTCGGCTCAGTCACAGAGCAGAGCCCTCTACGTGCTCCCCCAGGCAGCTCCCCCGCCCACCAGGCAGCCCACCTGGTGGTAAGGTGCTTCCAGGCCCGCGGCCCTGCGCAGATCACAGTGGAGAAGGCCAGGGCGGCCAGGAGGGAGAAGAGGCCGAGATAGAGCAAGCCCTCGATGCCGTCATAGCAGATGCCAGTGAGGGCGTCCAGGTAGTCCTGGAGGAGGAGGGACGCACAGCTGGGGGGGAGTGGGGACACAGCCTGGGGTCTGAGCTTGTCTCTAGAAGGCCCTCCCCCAGCCTGGACCTGGGATCTCCTTTCCTTCCTCATCCTGAGCACCTTGTACAGCCATTAAAGGTCCACGCTCCAGGGCCCAACACAATGGGGTATTTGGGTTCACTCTACAAGCATTTGCTAAACATCTTCTGTATGTCAGGCACAGGAGGGTCGGTCCTGAATAAGACAGACAAGGCTGCGGGGCCGGGGAGCCAGAAGATGGGGGGCATTTAATCTGAGGCCAGGATGGCAAGAAGGAGCAGAGTGCGCCTTGAGCAGGTGAGGCAAAGGGAACAAATTGGCATGTTCGGGCAAGAGGAAAAAGGCCAGCAGGAGACAGGGTTGGGTGGTGCCAGGTCACGCTGGGCCTTGCAGGGCAGGTGAGGAGTTTGCGTTTCATCATAAGGTGACAGGAAGACATTGGAGGGTCTGGGGACAGAAGGGATGTGATCCAATGAGTTTTTTAAAAAGACTGCTCTGCCTGCTTATACGAAACGTCACGGGTGGTAAGGGGGCGAGAGAAAGGGAGGGAAGGTGAGGAGGCACGGCTGTCACCAGGGGAGCAGGATGGTGCTTGGACCGTGGCGGAAGCTGTGGAGGGAGAGAGAAGAGGATGGATGCAGGATACGTCTGCGAGTATAGTTGCCAAGGCTTGCTGAGGGATTGGATGTGGAGGGGGAGAGCGAGGACACAAGGGCGAGTCCCATGTTCTCAGCTCTGAAGTCAGATTGCCAGGGTCCAAACCCAAGCCCTTGACTGGCCAGCTCTGGAATTTTCAGTAAGCTACTTTATAGCTCCATGGATCTATACATATACACATCTATCTATCTATCTATATTTATCCACACGCATATACAGTTTCCTCATCTACAAGATCTCCCACGAAATAACATGTATTTCATAGTATAGTGTGAAGACTAAATGACATACGGGGTATAACGTGCACAGATCAAGGCTGAGCACAGATCCCAGGACTCACTCAACGGCAGCCATGACCATTATCAGGACCATTCGCTCTAAACCACATGGGATGTGAAGCTGTCCACACACTGGCTTACTGCTTTGGGGGAGGGGAGCTCACATACTCCCAGTGTGTTCCCTGCATTAGGGTCTGATGGTTCAAATTCCTGGAAACATGACCCTGGCAATGAGATTGGGATGTGTACATGCAACCTGGGGAGACGGAGGGGTTGACCAGATGGCCAGGAGTCGGAACAATGGGGAACAGCCTCCTCATCTAGCTCAGGGTCCCCCAGTGTTCTAGAGGCAACCTGGTCCCATCCTCCCACCCCTGCCCCTGGGATCTTTCACTGAGTCTCCCCATCTCAGCTACTGGAGAGAATCAAGGAGCCAGGTACCTCTCCCACCTTCCCCTGTCCAGCTTCTGCCCCGTTCCCCCGGCCTGAAGGGGCTCGAGGCAGTCACTCTCCTAGCCTCTACTGGCTTCTCTCTGGGACAACGTGGCCACTGGGGTTCCCCCAACCCCCGATCGCCCCCAGGGCCACCCCAGCACCTTGTGCAGCCCTCGGCAATCCAACATGGCCGTCAGCTGGTGAAGGCTGGACTCTGATGAGTTCAGCAGGAGCTGGATTCCGAGCAGATCTTTCTGGAAGCAGGAAGAAAGAAACAGGCAAACATGTGGACAGACAGAGAGGCACAGAATGAGTGGAGGGGGGAGGGCTTGTGGACAAAGCCACAAACAGTGGCTTTTGCAAAGAGGCCTGGCGGGCGTGGGTGGGGGAAAGCTCTGCACAGCCTGGCTGTCCGAAGCTCTGGCCCTGGGGCGCCCCCTCTTCTAGCACAGACGCTGCAGCAGACAGCCTTACCTCTGCCGTGGGGAAGAGAGGCACCGCAAACTGCAGCAGTCCCACGACCTGGATCTGCATGGTGGTCAGCGAGCGCTGGAAGATGGTCAGGGCCTGGGCCAGGAGAGACCGCAGCCCTGCTGCGAGGGTCTATTTCCCAGGAGCCCCCACAGCCCCGAGGGCCTGTTCCCCTGCAGCCCCTCCCCTTGGCTGTGGCTGCAGTCACACCCGTTATCATGGCCCTTCCTGCTTGCAGGAAGTCTTCCCTCATCCCTCAGGCTTCTCGAGAGTCCTCTTGCTTCTTGCTACTCAGTGTGGTCCTCAGGCCAGCAGCATTGGCCTTGCCTGGGCGCTTGTGAGAAATGCAGAATCTTGGGCCCCACCCCAGACCTCCTGCGCAGCATCTGCATGTTAACCAGCTCCCTGGGGGACAGGCATACACGTTGGCGTGTGAGAAACACTGATCTAGAAGATGCTAAGAGCACTGGCCCTTCAGAGGACCACAGAGAAGCAAAGAGCACCCAGCCACCTTCAGCTTACTGGTCAGTGCTGGGGCTTGGGGTCAGTGGGAGCAAGCTGACCCAGGGGGCTGGGGGCAGGGTGAAGGCTGGGCTGGCTGGGCTGTACCTGCTGGAAGGGGCTGCTTAGGCTCTGACTGCAATACAGGTAGTAACGGGTCACCTCTGCAAGGCAAAGACACTGGCATCAGGCAGGAGCTCACAAGTGACCAGGACGCGATCCATCCTCAGGGGCCAAGCCAGTCCCCAACCTCCCAAAGGAACTGGCTTCTAAGAAATGGCCCAGAGGTCCCGCTGGACCTGAAGTGTAGGTGTGGGTATGAGAAGTGCTGGGGAGGGATTGGATGACTCTGGGGCTGAAAGAGGTTAAGCAGAGGCACAGACTGGCTGGCCACGGGCTTGGCCTGAGCAGCCAGAGCGGCTCTGACAGCAGAGGCCGGAGAGCTCATTACCTGTGCGGATCTGACCCTCCGTGATGTTCAGGATGAAGGTGTCAGGAGCCACGCAGAAGTCACTGGTGGCCTGAACCAGGGAAAGAGGAGAGGGGTGGAGGGAAGTCACGATACCAGGGCCCTGGGAGGAGCCAGACGCCCTCGACCCCAGCCACTTGGACCCCTTAGCTCAGTCCCGGGTGGGCAAGAAGAGTCAGGAGCCAGCCTCCCTGGATTCGAGTCCTGGCTCTGCAACTTTGGCCAAGTGACTTATCCTCTGTGTGTCAGTTGCCTCTGCTATAACATGGGGAGAAAAACGCTATCCATCTTATGAATTAATCAATGTACAGCACTCAGAAAGGCGATGGGCAAAGAGCAGGCACCAGGTCCTATTTCTCATCTCTGAATGCCTCTTCTGGGATGACCTCCGGGCCGGGAGCCTGGGCCAGGGGGAGCCGCAGGGCGTGGCTCGCAGACTGATGCACACCATGGCCTCCTCTGCTCACCTCTACTTGATTTTACCTGCTATTTGTCTTGCTGTTATCACGTCCCACACGCTCTGAGGGTGTAACTCTATGAAGCCTCCCCCAGACTCTCTTTCTAAAGAATTATGTTGGTGCTGAATCCATCTTTGAGCCTTTGGGTGCAGGTCCTGCTCATGATAAGATGGGGGACCAGGAAGAGCAGGGGGCTGGGAGTAGAGGACCCGGGCCCCGGGCTCTGCCACTGACCAGCTGGGGGACCTGGACCCTGCAGCATGGCCTGGCTGGGTGACCACCAAGGGCCCACGGGGCTGAGTGGGAGCAGGTCCAGGCCCTGGAAGAGACGGCAGCCAGGATGCCATGCTCAGAGCCAGGCCCTCCCCAGATCCGGCGGGCAGGTGCAGTGGGACGCTGGGTAAGGGGGGGCCTCCACCTTTCAGAGCAGCCGGGGTAAGCTCTGGTCCTCTGGCCCACTCCTCGGGGCTGCCCCTGCTCCAGTGCACGCTCCCGAACAGAGGACCCCTCCCCATGGCCCTGAACTGCCAGGGCCCTGTCCTCCTACAGGAGTGGGTGCCTCAGGGGTCCCCAGCGGAACTTCACTCACTCATTCATTGAGTTGATAAATATTTACTGAGCACTTACGAGGTGCCATGCACTGTTCTAGGCACAGGATACAGTGGCAAGCTGTGCTGTGGCACTTATGGTCTAGAAAACATGTGTGTGTATGCGTGGGGGACTGGGGAATAAAATGCCCCTCTAGATACAGAGCTACCACAGAGCCGTTTCCGCACAGGCACACGCTCATACATACACACACACTCACACGACCACATGCTCAGGACCCTGGGAGAATTGCTCTGTACACAGACCACTAACACACATCATCAGCCAGACTGGTCTATTGCTATAAATCAGAGCCACGACACCAGGGGGCCTGGGGGTACGATCACCTCCCTCACTGGAGTGGCAGGGTGGGGAGGCCAGGCCCTGGTGGGGGATGGGGAGGCCTGCGGGAAAATAAAGAGCGAGGCCGCCATCTTGGTCTGGGTCACCCCCAGAAGTTTGGGATCCAAAGAGGGTCAGGAGGCCCCCATCAGAGGCCCCACCAGGGATGTGGCCTCCCACCCTCTCCTTCCCCCTCAGGCCAGCCCTGCTCTTCAGTTCCTGCACTGAGGATTCAACTTTCTTCTCAATGAAGACAAGGGCCTGTATGTGCATGTGCACCCCCGTGTGCATGACTCATGCAACGGGGGTGAGGATGAGGGGGAGGGAGGGGACACTGAGCACAGCTGGGGCAGGTGGAGAAGCCGCCCAGAGCCCAGACCACTGAGAGCAGAGGTGATGGTCCCTCACCTAATGATAATAAATGTGGGGTACAACAATGATGGCTACTGTTTATGCAACATTTACCACAGGCCTCCCACGGATTAACCAACTCACCTCATCCCACCAACAACCCAGTGAGGGAGGGCTATTATTCTCCCCATTGTACACACGAGGAAACTGAGGCCTGCAGAACCTCAGTAACTTTCCCAGGGGTCCACTCCTGGGCAAGGGAGCGGGTGGGGGGGTGGAATGTGGCCCAAGACAGGAGGTTCAGAGGCCACGCTCCTGCTCCCCTACCCAACTCAGTGAGGTGGGCCTGCCATCCCTCAGTGGCTGGACTCACAGGGAGCCCTCAGCTCTGCTCCGTCTATGGTGCTCTGCGGCCACAGCACTGGATAACCCTTCCCTCCCCGCTCTCCCAAACCTACTGTCGCCTCCTTCTTGGGCGTCTTCTCTCCCCTCTGCCCTGAACCCCTCGCCCTCTGCCTTACGCTCCTGACCACTGGTGGTGTGTGGGGGGCGGTCAAGCAGGGAGGCAGCGGCCAGGGTCACAGAAGGCTCAGAGCGGGGCCCACAGCCCAGAGCTCAGCTCCCCGCATTCCCATTCGGAGCAGATTCTCAGGGGCAGGGCTCCTTCCTCATGGAGGTCCTTTTAGGGGGGACAGGGGAGGTGGGGGGAGGGCCTGCAGGGTCAGTCCTCTGGCCCCACAGCTCTCAAAAAAAACAAAAAAAATCAGGCCTTGGAGAGCAGGGCAGCGAGGCCACACAGAAGCTGCCCACAATAGCCTTCGCCGGCACCTCTCTCCCCTCCCGGCTCCTCCTCACTCCGCTTCCTATTAAAATGCAGCAGCGTCTCTGGCCCCATCAAAGGCCCCTTCACACTCTGGCTCTCACACAAGGGCCTGACTGAGCAGAGCAGGGAATGGCCTTTCTCTGCAGCTCCCTCGCATTCCAGGGCACCCAGCTGGGAGACTAAAGCGCCTCCGGTTTCCTTGAGCAGAGGCCTGGGGAGAGGGAGAGGCCCCCACTGGGAAGGAGCTGTCTCCCAAAGGGCCGCTCCCGGTGGCAAGCTGGAAGCCTCCCCTGCTTCCAGAAGGCAGAGGCCGCCTGGGGCAGGCTGGCCAGGAGAGCTTGCCATGTGCGAGTTTCTATGTGCTTTCACTTGTCCCCAGAGGAGGGGCTGTCAGCCAGACAGCTGTGCGTGCTGCTCCGGCCAGCAGCCACTCCCCTGGACTATGTACAGCACTCCGGGCTCCTGATGACATCAGGATGCTTTGGAGCATGACCTGGGCCCTCCGACCCTCCCCTTCTGTGTTTCTGGAGGGGCCCCAGGCTCATACTTGTCCAGTTCTCTCTCCTGCCCAAATTGGACACTGCATGGTACAAGGGGAGGAAAGAAAAGAGGAGATGCCCACCTCCTCTCCCTTCCGGAGGGGCCCTGCCAAAAGCTGCTACGATCCAAGCAGCACCAGGGGCCAATCATTCTGTGGGCATCATGGAAGCAAACTGCCCAAGGCCAGAGCTACAGGCCGCCAGCCCCCAAGGCGCCCGGCAAGGCATGAGTTTGGGTAGAGGGCTTCCAGTACGAGCCTCATTCTTCTATCCCCAGGTAGCGAGGACAGCACAGATGCAGGTCACAAAGTTAGTCTGTGTGCTTGAATCAGCTCGGGGTTCCTTGCAATCCCTCGTAAATCCTGTCCCCTCTACGACATACACACACACACAGAACATGCACCTCCACCGTATTGACTCACATGGGGCTGCAATGATGTGCCTACACGTCTTTCTCCAGCAGGCTGTGGCTGCGTCAGGAGCAAACATCATGTCCCCCTGGTTTTTGCATCCCTAGGCACCGGGCACCATTGTTAAGTGCCAGAGTCAAATGTCAGCTGAATGAATGAATGACTTGTGCACACAGTTTAACTTGAGTGTTAGGTCTATTAAAGAGAAAACTCCTTCAGAGGAAGCTCCCCTGACCTTGTACTTTTTTGCTTTTGTTTTTTTTTTTTAAACATTTGGAGGCACCACATCCAGAAACATACACCATTGTGTTTAGACTGTGTGTGAGTCCAAGGACAATGGGACGGAAGGCAAGCTAAAGGCCACATTCCACATTGCCAGTGCTCTGGGAAGCTGGCCAAGGAGGCTGCTTCTGAAGCCGGAGGGCTCCTCCAGCCTGAGGTCCAGACCCTGCCCATCCCCCCCAGATCTGGTCAGTTCTTCACACCCAAAGAGAAGTCACTTGGTCATCTGTGCACGTCCTAACAAGCAGGGGCTGGGGATGGGTGGGGAAAGGGATTGGGCATCAGGCGTCCTATCTTGGCTCTGTCCCTAAATACCTTGTGATCATGGGCAACTATCTCTGGGCCCGTGTCCCCATCTGCAGGGCGAGTGGGCTGGTACAGATAACCCAAGCCCCTTCAGTTCTGAGATTCTGGGATCAGATCAGGAACCGAGACCGGAAGCTGGTCCTGCCCTGGGGACTCTGGATAGCACACATCAGCCTACCAGCAGACAGTTGGTCCTGGTCAGTGCCCCCACTACCCCTACACTGCACCCCCCAACTCACCACTGCTGTAGCGGTGTCAGCAGCCAGGGACGTCCAGCTGAGGAGCAGGGCCAGCAACCCACAGCACAGCATCCTAGGAGAGAGGCAGCCACCAGTGGGATCCAGGCAAAGGCTGGCAGGCAGAGGATGCTGTGATGGCTGGCACCCCACCAACCTTTAGCGCCCTTCCTCTCAGCCTCCTGCAGTGGCCTGAAGGCAGCCTCAGTCCCTGCCCTGACATCGGCCATTCTGACTGCTGGGAGAAGGGTGGAACCCACTGCCTAGAGCCAGGTCCTGGGCTGTGAGGGCGCCGGCTAAGGAGGAGGTGCTGGTTAGAATGCAAGAGGCCATAACGCTCGGCCGCATTTCTTCAGCTGCTCAACAGTCGGGCCCAGGAGGGAGGGGACACCTAGAGCAAAGCCCTGTCCTTGCTTGGTGTCCAGATGGCAAGTTGGTGGTTGCTGTCCCCCCTTAGCCGGGTGCTGAAGAGGGGGTGGAAGGCGGCTTCAGGCTGTTGATCCCACCACATCCTCCAAGCCTGACCGGGCCCTCGTCTCTCTCTGCCGGTGGCACTGTCACCCAACATGCTTGCCCAGTTCTTTGTCCCAGGCCCCTAAGCAGGCCTACTCACAAGGCCAGGAGACACCTGGAGCGCTTGGCCAGCCCCAGGCAGGCGATGAAGCAGAGGACCAGGTCCAGGATGAAGAGGAGGAGGTAGGAGAGCCACCTGGAAGGAGGGGAAGGACGGTCAGGGGGAGCAGGGCAGAACTCCGCATCTGGGGTCTACCCGGGGGTCTGAACAGCGACCCCCAGGCTCTCTAGACCCTTCGTTAGAGCAAACTGCCCAGAGCCAGCAGCTAAGCAGACTAGATGTGGGTGCAACCCTGCCCTGGACAGGAAGAACCCAGTGTGCACGGGTGCACAGGCTCTTCAGGGGCCCGGGGGCTGCACCCTTTTTTCATCCTGGACAAAGGAGTTAGCTGCCGGGCTCCTGGCTGGGTGTCTAAACCAGTGCCATCTGCTAGAACTTTCTGCAGTGATGGGAACATTCTATCTCTGCGCTCTCCACTCCATCTGTCACTTCCTATGTGGCGACAAAGAACTTGAAATGTGGCCTGTGCAAATGAGGCAATGGCTTTCTAACTTTATTTAATTCGGATTAGTCTAAATTTCAATAGCCACATGTGGCTGATGGCTACACAGTGGACGCAGCAGGTCTGTGTTCTCTCTCTCTGCAGCCTTCTCCCGCGGGCATCTCTTTAAACCCTGGTTCCCACTGCTTCTAGAACTCTCACACAGCCTCAGAGCAGGCAAGCCCTGACATTTATAGCCACAGATCTAAGAGAGCCCCTAGGACGCCCACTGCTTTGATGAACGGTAGGCCTGGCCCCCTGCCCCTGGCCTCCTCTGGCCCTCCTGGCTGTCTGGAACCCCCCACTGTGGACGTCTAGGTTCGTTTCCACCAACTTCTGTGCCAGGCGCTGAGCTTAGGGCGAAGGATGTGCAGGAGTGGGCTCGGTCCCCAGACCATCAGGAGCTGGAGGTGGGGCAGGGACCCCCAGGTCAGGACATCCTGGGGCACCTCCAGGCCTCCTGGACCCTCACTCCTCTGGCATCTTTGTCCCCCCAGCCTGAGCGGATGGGAAAAGGCTGTCACACACCAGCTGGAGACCTTGGCTGGTTGCTTCACCCCTCTGAGCCTCAGTTTCCAAACCTGTAAAGGAAGCCGGAACCCTCCTCGCACAGGGCAGGCTGAGGATTAAGTGCTCGCCAAATGCAAAGGGTCCCAGGAGAGGCAGGGAGGGATTCCCAAGGCCCCATTTCCTCCGTCTCCAAAGCACCAACTCAAGAACCTGGAGCGCCTGAAGCCCAGGGCGCGGAGAAGATCCCAAGCAGAGCGCCCTCGTGCCTCCCCTTCCAAACAGGACCCCAAGGCGGTCCTCACAACTCAGTGCCAGCCTCACCTGGCAGCCGCCCCACTTGCCCTGCGCTGGGGGACGGGTCTAGCAGTGGGGGCTGGTGGACAGAGGAGGCCGGGCGCAGGGAGGAGGGACTTCTCCTAGTCCCCAAAGAGGATAGTCTTATAATCATTATTTCTTTCGTAAGAAAGAATGTAAGAGCCAAATAAATTCGTTGACTTCCTCCTCTCCAGCAATGGTTTTCCGCTTCACGGACACCTTAAGGAGGGTAAGTTCGAGTTTGGAGGGTGGGAGGGGTGTGGGGTGGGGCTGGAAGAAAGTGACACAGAGGCTCCAAGGGGGAGGGAGCACGCTGGAGGCCCCCTGGCAGCCAAGTGAGGTTCTTTCCGCCTTTGTGAATGGAGGTTTAATGCCCCAAAAGGGGCCTTACTAAACCCTCAGACTCCCTGCATAGGGTGGGGGCCGGCTGCCCTGGGGGGTCCGAGGAATGGAGCTGGGGGCTCTGGGAAAGTGCAGAGCCCGCCCGCCACTAGGATGAGGCCAGCAAGGAGCCAGTTTTCTTAGAATCAGAGTCAGAGCTGGAAGGAAGCCTGGGGACCATCGAGTATTAGGACCCATTCTACAGACTGGAAAACCAAGGCCCGTGGGAAGAAAGCCTGGCCCACGAACTCCAGGTTCTCCCCCATCTTTGAGCCTTCCTACAAGAGACAAAGCCAGCCACCAGGCACCTCTCAGAATCCCGGTTTCCTGTTTCAAGCCTAAAGGTTCTTGTTACCTCGCTCCCCTCCTCTCTACACGTTGGCAGGAAATCAAGCTACGATTGCTTCTCACTCACTCCCCAGATGGCTGCTCTGTATCCACGCCTCATGTTGTAAGGGGTTCCTGGAAACAGCTCTGCGAGGCAGATGTGTTTTCCCGGAGGACCCCGGCCATGACCCGGCGATGGATTTCTAACCAAGAACTTGGCTCTCGCAAGAGCCTCTCCGGGCCTTCCTCCCACCCATAGCTCCTCCCATATCTGCCTCCACTGATGTGCTCAGTGACATCGCTGACAAGCTTCTCAACGAGGGTAGTTGTCTGGCTTTTTATTGCCTCCAGTACTTAGCTAGGCCTTGTATAAAAACGCTGAAAAATATTTCTTCTTGCTTAGTTGGGTGGCTATGCTCTAGAGCTATCCAGGAAGCAAAGATGGGGAGGCTGTCCAGAGCAGACCAAGGCTGGTTGGCTCAATGACAAAGGCTTGTCGTAGGGCAGCTCAGGTGAGACGGGTGAACACCACCAGAAGAGGAGGGCAAGGGACAGAACATCACAATCCTCAGGAGCCACAGGTGCCATCCCTGGACTAGACCTTTTCTGCCTCGACCTGAACAAGGGGTGGTAGTTGGGGATGGGGGTCCTAAACGACCCCCTCAATCACGCACACTGAAATAGCTGCTGCAGTTGTCACCACCGTTCCCCCACTTTAATGAAACCACCTTAAAAATAAGCCCTCCTGATATATACATTCTGACATTTCATCATCATCGTTATCAAAATGCCCACATTAGGCCCTTAAGTGTGGCCCACAGTAGGCCCATTAGGCCCAATACAATCCTATGCTAGGTCTGCTCAGTGATAATGGCAGGGTCAAAATGGACCCCCACTTTCTACCTCCTCTGACCACCCCATGGCAAAAAGATTTCAAAGGCTCAGGCAATGAGTGGCCCTCATGTCACAGGACTAATCGATGTCACTGGCTTGGGTCACAGGTCACAGCCAGTCCTTAGAGCTGGCAATTTCTTTCTCTCACTTGGGAGAAAGGCACTTTTGCAAGTGAGCATCCATCTGGTGGGAAGTTGACCAAGGTCCCTTTCAATCCAGAGCATCTGTGACATCTGGCAATGCAGGGGCTGGACGGGCTGGGAAGGGGAGGGACCTCATGAGCCTCCCCTCGTCAGGGCCCTGCCATCTCCTACCCCAAGGAAGGGGAGAGCCAAGGATGGGGAAGTCTCTGGCCAGAGGCCACCAGGAGCATTTTCTCTAGACTCAGTATTAGTTCATTTTCTCATAAAGAGGAAATGAATCCATAAAACCAGAGTAGATTGCACAATAGTGGCTAAAGGCTCTGACCTTTGCCAATGGCTTGAAGAGGAAGCAACAAATTAGGGGGCAGGAGGGTCCAAAGAGCTGATACCTGTGCTTCAGGACGCATGTGTTCACCCCACCCTAGTGCCTCCTCCGTGCTGGGTGCTGGGCCCTGGGTGCACAATGACACACACTTCATGAGTTCCTATCGCCCGTCAGCTGGGAGGTACCCAAAGCCGCGGCTGCTGCCTCCCTCCTTGGCTCAACCCAGAGTGACCTTCATTAGACCTTGAACATGGAGGGAGGACAGTCGGTCCCTGGTCAGCTGACCTGTGTCCAGAGCCTTCACCTGGGATGGGGTTTGGGGAATGGGGAGGCAGGAGAGAGTGAAGCTGGGTACCTGAGGGTTACTGTAAATATTCAACAAGAACATAGCTACCCTTGACCTTGTTCCCAACACAGACACAAATGAAAAGAAGTTAAATCTTATTAATTTGCTGTTTTCTTGTTTAACCTGAGGGGTGACTCAAGGGCCACAAGGATTTATGAGCTTGTTTTGTAGAAGAAAAAGGATGCCTTCAAGGAAGTTATGATCGCCAGAGAACCAGCCCCCAGCTGCCATTGATGCCCAGAAGTCTGAATGCCCAAGGACTTATCTGGAGTGAAAGAAACACAGACTTCCCCTTTGTTTCTCCAAAACTCCTCCTCCCAAGCCCCTTAGCTCTGTAAAGACCCACTGCTTTCTTCTTTGTTAAGGCGGATTTGAGAGAACCTATCCTTCCGCCTTCTCATCTTGGCCAGTTCGAATAAACCTTTCTCCATCTCCAAGCACCATGTCTCAGAGATGGGCTTACTGTGCCGGGGCACAGTAACTTGAACTTGAGATTAAGAGGTCTGGTATCAGAAGTAAACAGAACTCCAGAGGTTAGATGACATTAGCATGAGTTTGCATATCTGACTAGGGCCAAGGTGGGGCAGTACCCCATGGCCCCCATCATTCCAGCTCGACATAAGTGAGGCTGGGGGCATCTCTGGGCTTGCTAAGAAGTTGCCATCAGGCGAGGCTCTGTGCAAAGAAGCCACTGTCTCCCCACTCTCCTGCACCCTGTGGCCCATAACCCCTGGCAAGCGAGGAACCCATAAACGCTTGTACTTCACCAAGCACCAGTCACGGAGAATGCTGGTCCCGGAGAAGGCCCATGCTGTGTGCTGGGAGGCCAGGTCCAGCCTCCGGTGCTGGGATGTTGGCACATCACTGCCCTTCTCTGGGCCTCGTGCCTGCCTGTATAAGGAGGCTGTTCTGTGTGCCCCCCACTCAGCCCCTACAAGCTCTCATGTTCTCTAATTTCAGTTAATGGCTTATTAAGACCTCGGTGGCACTTCCCCACCCGGACCCTAAGACGCAGGCTTGGATGAAGAAGCTGGTGCAGCCCCAGCGCCTCTCCCTCTGCCCTCACGGCCCTCACCTGTAGTACTCCACGTAGCCAGTCTGGTCGGACAGCTTGGTCAGCTCGGCCGTGACCTCTCCCCACTCGGGAAACCCTGAGAGCTGGCCGAGGATGTTGCCCGCCATCTGCTGCATGAACTTCAGTGTCTGGATGTAATCGCCCCGGGCGGCAAAGATCTCACTGAGCCGGGTCAGGTGCTGCTCTAGTTCCACCTTCATCTTCTGGGTGGTTCCCGACACCTGGGGAGGAGAGTTGTGAGTCTGGCCCTCAGCTGGGAGGAAGGCAGTGAGGTAAATCCCCTGACTCTGACTCTGGAGGGCAAGGTCTGCAAGGAGCAGAAGACGGCTGCTCGGGGGGCCGGGCCGGTGGTGTAGCGGTTAAGTTTGCGCACTCCGCTTCGGCGGCCTGGGGTTCACCGGTTCGGATCCCGGGTGCGGACCTATGCACCACTTATCAAGCTGTGCTGTGGCAGGCATCCCACATATAAAATAGAGGAAGATGGGCACGGATGTTAGGTCAGGACCAATCTTCACCAAAAAAAAAGAAGGGCAGTCTCCATGGTCGAGTGGTTAAGTTTGCGTGCTCCGCTGCAGCGGCCCAGGGTTCAGATCCTGGGCGCGGACATGGCACCACTCGTCAGGCTACTTTGAGGCGGTGTCCCACATCCCACAACTAGACGGACATGCAACTAAGATACACAACAGTGTACAGGGGGGGTTGGGGGAGATAAAGCAGAAAAAAAAAAAAAAGACGACAGCTGCTCGGGCTAGAATGAATGCACCATGTCTGCTGTCCCAGCCCTGAAGAGCTCACGAGGCTGCCGCCCAGAGGGAGGGTGGAAGACAGGCCCCACTCCCCACCCAGCCCTCATGTCCCTCCATCCAGGGGGCAGGCCCCCATCAGGGCCTTAACCAGGGCCTTAGCTCCAAGATCCAACGCCTTACTACAAAGAGAGACCCAGATGGGGAAACAAGAGAATCCATTTTTGTTCCTTGTAGATTCTCTTAAAACTTTAAACACTCTGGATTATGAATTCTTTTCCAGAGTGAGGAATAAAATGTTGAAACCGAACTGTTCCTCTGTTGCTACCTGACCTTTTTGTTCCCACACTGGGGTTTCTAAATGCCTCCCAAGAGAAAGGCTTTGCTGTCCTGAACCGGAGCGAAGGCAGAACAATGGAACTTTGAAATAACAGACAGACCCGATCCTGCCTGCGAGGAGCCTGCACATGTGACGGGAGCAGGAAATCGGCGCCTTCTGGGTGCGCTCATGCTCTCCCTGGACGTCTGTCCTGCCAGGTGGATGGACAGGCTTCTGTCCCTTGGCTGGGCCTTAAGGGCCTGGAGTTGAGTGGACCCCGAAGGAAGCAACTTTCTATTCAAAGGTAGAGAAGGAAGGACGATGGCAGTGACTCTCCTTGGCTTTCAAACAAGGAGCACCAGTAGAGCTCATATCGGAAACGTGCTTCCGAACAGCCCAGATGCGGGGTTCCGGCAGGGTCCAGGGACCCCAAGCACGTCCCTCTGAAGGCGAAGCCGGCTCTGAGCCTACGTGCTGGCGGTGAGGGGAAGAAGGGCTTTGTTGTTCTGATGCTGTCACGTTAAACCAACGCGCACGGCTGGCTGGAGGGGGGAGTGTGTGCTAATCCTCCTCTGGGCAGCCTGCAGCTCCCACAGGGCTAGAAGGAAGATAAAAATGACACAGAACAAGGGCCAAACCTTCCCACAGCCAGACTTCCCTGCCTCGGGGACCTGACGGCAACTCTGTGGCCTTTCACATGTGCACTATACTGCGAGTTCCTGGTTCCAGAAGAGAGAATGGCCCTCTTTGTTCCAGTTTCTGGCTTGTTCCTGGTGCTTACGAGCTGGTTAAGCACTATGAGACACCACTGTGCAGAGATGGTCTACACCCTACAGATTCGGCAGCTTGTAGTTTCCCACGGGGGGTGGGGTTGGGGGGAGAACGGGTGACATGTAGAAGTCAATTCAGTAACTAAACATTGCCCTAATAAACTTCCCTTTTCAGTTCCCTAAGATCAACGTACAAGTGCTTTGTCGCCAGCGACCCAAAAGGCTCTATTATTAAATGCTAACATTAGGAGCAAACTCTGTTCCACGTGATATTTTCATATTCCTCTATCAGAATAAGCAACTTTAGCGCAAAGGCTGTTGAAAATGATCTGTGACTTTTTCTCTGTAAGACCACTTTTCCTCCTTCCATAGCTCTACATTTTTAACTTCTCTATTTCTTAAATCCCTCCTTGAAAAAAACCAAAAGCCAGTAAACATCTGCCGGGCCCTCTTTCCTCCTGATGTCTTCCCATAGCAAACAATACAAAACAAAAAAATAAAAATCACAATGTTGACCTACTTACAGCCCCATTTCCCGCTCCACCCCCAGGCCTTTGAGGTTCTGTACCCAGAGCTCCCCTCAGGGAGACAGAGACAGGACGCTCCAGAGAGGGAACAAGGCTCAGGGCTCGCTCTGTGCACAAGAGGGACAGCTCAGCTCCCCAGGCTGGGGTGGGGTGAGGGGCGCGCTGGCAGGTGGAGGAAGCTGTCATCCCGAGGATGAGGCCTGGGTTCTCCAGGTGTGGTTTCTGCACCAGCAGCATCAGCACATCAGCTGGGAACTCATTAGAAATGCAAATTCTCAGCCCAGCCCAGACAGACAGGATCAGAAACTCAGGGCTGGGGCCCAGGACTCCAGCTTATCAAGCCCTCCAGGGGATTCTGATGCAAGTTCAGGTTTGAAAACCTCTGGGTGGGAGGAGGCTCCTTAACTTAATGAGGAGGGTTTTCTAAAGGGCAGGCCCACCAGGAGACCAAGGGGTGGAGCCCCCGCAGGTTGTGGGGGAGGGCCCCCGGCTCGGATCCTTGAAGGGAAGGGCTAAGCCCAGAACACCTGGGTTCCAGCTCTTGCTCTGAAACGGACTAGCTTCCAACCCTGGGCCAGGAACAACCTCCCTGGGCCCCAGCTTCTTCACCCAAACGCTGCCCCATAGGCCTGCTGCCGGCTCAGATGAGAGTCGGGATGAGCCATGCTGGCCCCTGGAATGCGGGCCTTAAACCCGTGTCGGTTGAACTCTCAGGGGCTGTAGGGCCCCAGGCCCTAATTTTAAGCTGAGACTCTGAGGGGTTAGAGGTGTGCCTGGTCCCCTGTGTGAGTCAGTGGGGCCCAGATGGGGCGCACTGGTTGCAGAGAAAGGACTCAACCGGCACTCCCAAATAACCCTTTCTGATCCCCCAGACCGGAGCGTGCAGCTGAGCCAGACCCCTGCCCAGCCTGCCTGAGCCTTGAGCTGCGGTACCTCCAACCAAGGCCTAAGCTTCCCTCAGGGTGGGGTGCAGGCGTGGGGCTTCTGGTCCAGGAAAGGGGAACCTGGGAGGTCCACCTTGCTCTGGCCCAGGTCTGACCTGTTCCCACCCTCCCCCTCATCTAAGCCTCCTCTCTCCTTCGTGGTGATTATAGTAATATATATAATTATAGTGATTATAATAATAGCACTCATTATCATGGTCAACCCCATTTGGAGGGTACTTTGTAGATTACCAGGCACTTTCACGGCCATTATCTCATCTAACATCATTTATCTAATATGAGGTCTTCACCTTCGGATCCGGGGAGCCCTCGGGACTGGAAGTGTTGGGTGCCCACCCTCAGGCTCAAACCAGCCCCCTCCACCCAGAGAAAGCAACCTGTGCCTGGGCCCCAGGGGCCCCCAGGCCTCACCCAGAGGCAGGAGGTGGTCATCGTTGGGAGCAATCGGCTCCCAGCTGGCTGGACCATCACGAGCTCCTGTCCTCACTTTTCAGAAATGGTGGAGAGAGGACCAGGGGCTGACGTCCAGAGACACAAGAATCTTCCCCTGGGGACCACGGGGGACTTGAGAGATGTGGGGCTCGCTGCGAAATGTCCAAACCTGGCCCTCAGCCCCCGGGTGGGTGAACACAACCTGGGCACTCGTTCCCAGCTCATCTCCCTGCACAACCCTCACCCCGTGGGACAGGGACTTGAAGAACGGAAATCTTCCATCAGGACAGCTCTGGCACTCTCTTCCTCAGCTCCCGGGAGAGACAAGGGCCATTCCCTATAATGGTCACAAGTCAGCCAGTGAAGGTCTTGGCTCTGGGGCTGCCCCGGCAGGGGATTCTTTCAGGGCTGAGTTCCTCCTCTGGGGGTTCTGGTGCTGTGGGGGGAGGAGGCGGCCGAGGCAGAGCCTGGAGGGCGGTGCTGTGGAGCCCCTCCCACCAGCGCAGGGTGGGGCGGGTATCACACCCAGGCCTCCAGGCTGGTCAGGCTGTGGTCAGTCCCCCAAGGCTGCCCTTGGGTTCCCCATCCCAGCCGCCCCACCCTCACCCTGCAGAATTGCCTCAGCCCGGCGTCCAGACAGCTCAGTCCCCATGGACGGGTGCCAGCGGACCCAGGGGTGGACAGATGAGCTCCGCAGGACAGCTGGGCCCCTGGCCTGGACCCTGACCCTCAGCTCCCCAGGAGGGCTGAGGCCAGAGCCTCCTCCCCAGCCATCCCGGGCGCTGATGAGCAGCACAGCTGTCTCTTTAAGGTGAGCCCCTCCTGAGGGGCCAGCTGAGGGATTAAGGCCTTAGAAGAGCTTAAGGGAGAAGGAGGGGCAATGAGGTCAAATCCTCTTCCAGCGAGAGCCAGGGCAATGTCCACACGCTCCGGTTGGGGTTGGACTGTGGTTGAGGCTGCCTGACACAAATGGGCTATTTGCTGAGGTCACCCCTTTGCTGGGGACCTGGCCCAGAGGGGATTGGAAACGGTGTGGATGTCCAAGGACTGGTTTCCCTGAGAGCCACCCTGGGGCCCGGCTCCTTAGGGCACCAGAGCTGCCTGGAAAATCAGCCCCAAGACCGGGTGCTACAGGGAAGACGACACGCACTCAGGGGCCAAGGCTGCCCAACCCCCGGGCCTCTCAGCCTCTCACTCAGGCCACAGGCTCAGCAGAGCAGCCCTTTCCTGCCCTAAAAGGCTCACATCTCCTTTGTCCGGCCCAAGACAGTCCTTCGCCCCGAGCCCCCACGGGGGGTCACGGTACCCAGAAGCCAGAGCCCAGAGGACCCCTCGCTGGGTTTCGGGCAGAGCCTCACCACTCCACGGGGTGCTTCACTTGGTTTTGAATAGTTTTCCCCCTTGACATGTCCTGGACCCCATAATACTCTATACGCAGCACTGAGAGTGAACATGAAAACACTGTAGGGCTGGTCTTCCGTGGGCAGGGTCTCCTTGGACAAACAGGAAAGTGTTCAGCTCTCCTGGAGACGATCCCACGGTCACCCTCGTGCCCCCAGGACCTATCAGCCTTTCTCCTTTGGTCCTCGCCCCATCCCGGCCACCCCTCCCAGCCAGGGGAGCAGAAATTGCCTGTTTGCTCCTGGCGGGACCAACTAAAGCACAAAGTGGGGTCCAGACTCCCCTGGAGCCGAGCTGCTGGGATCTGACTGGGGCCCTTGTTCTGACCACAGTGACCTCACGGGCTGCCCCCGGCCCGGCCAGCTGCCTGTAAGTCTTACCAGGGTATCGATCCCAGAGAAGGTGTGGTTCGCGTTGTCCAAGGAGTAGATCAGCTGGTACACCCCATCGTTGGTCTCGCTGTTTCCATAGAAACCAACACCCACCGCAGCACTACAGGCAAGACCCAAATAAAGTTAGAGGTGACACCCAGAGGAGAATGTTTTTCTTTCTTTTATATGCTATTTTTAGAGCAGTTTTAGATTCACAGCAAAATTGAGCAGAGGTACAGGGATTTCCCATATATTCCCTGCCTCCCCTACCAACATGCCCCACCATCAACATCCCCTACCATCAGCATCCCCCACCATCAGCATCCCTCACAATCAGTGTACCTACACTGACACGTGGTTCCACCCAGAGTCCATTATTTACAATAGGGTTCACTCTTATATTAGGTTTCACTTTTGGTGTTGTACATTCTATGGGTTTGGACAAATGTATAACGACATGTACCCATTCCTATAGCATCTTACAGAATACAGTCATATGGGGACACACTGAGAAATGAGTCAGGCAATTCTGTCTTTGTGTGAACATGATACAGTGTACTTACACAAACCTAGATGGCATGGCCTACTACACACCTAATCCAATGGGCATGGCACTAGTCTTATGGGACCATCACCGTATATGTGGTCTGACATTGACTGAAAGCTTGTTGACTGAAACGTCATTATGCAGCACATGGCTGTAGTCCTAAAATTCCCATGCTCCACCTCTTCATCCTTCTCTTCCCGCCACCCCCGGATCTCTTTACTGTCTCCATAGTTTTGCCTTTTCCAGAACGTCATATAGTTGGAATCATACGCTATGTAACCTTTTCAGATCGGCTTCTTTCACTTAGTGATATGCATTTAAGACTCCTCCAGGGGGCCAGCCCGGTGGCGCAGCGGTTAAGTGCGCACGTTCCGCTTTGGTGGCCCTGGGTTCACCAGTTCGGATCCCGGGTGAAGACATGGCACCACTTGACAAGCCATGCTGTGGCAGGCATCCCACATATAAAGTAGAGGAAGATGGGCATGGATGTTAGCTCAGGGCCAGTCTTCCCCAGCAAAAAGAGGAGGATTGGCAGCAGTTAGCTCAGGGATAATCTTCCTCAAAAAAAAAAAAAAAAAGCCCCCCATGTCCTTTCAGTCTTGCTAGCTCATTTCTCTTCAGCACTGAATAATATTCCACTGTCTGGATGGACCGCAGTCTGTTTATCCATTCACCCACTCAAGGGCATCTCGGTTGCTTCCAGGTTTTGGCCATAATCAATGAAGCTGCTGTAAACATCTACAGAGAGCAGGTTTTCACTTTAGCTGAGGAACTCATTCCTGGGAGTAAGGATGACGTCTAAAGCTCTGGCAGGTGCAGGGGCTCGGGAGTGAAGGCTCAGGGCCAGCCTGTCCCCAGCCTGGCTGACTAACTCCAGGGCACGTTTCATTTAGGCAGCAGGAAAACACGCCCGTGCTCCATCCCATGGCTCTGAATGGTGGAAGATTGCTGGCCTGGCCCTAGCGACTCTGAAGCAGTAGGTCTGGGTGGGACCCAGGAACCTGTTCCCCGGGTCACTGACAGAGGTGGGCCTGGTGACCACTGAGGTCTCATGAAACCACACTGTCTCTCTGGAAACCCCCAGGAGTCGGGGATGCCCCCTCTTCTCTCTCCTTCCCCATGGCACCATGAGGCAGCCTGTCCTACTGAAAACTGCCAGCTTATAGAAAGTGCCTTCTTACATTGAGCCAAGCCTACCTCCTTGAACCACTCACCCACTGGTTCTTGGCTGTCCTCTGGGGCAGCCCAGAATGAGCCTCCAATTCTACAAGACAGCCCGTCAGACATCTGAATGGGGCTCCGCGTCACCCTTTCTCTCCTGCTCCCCAAGTCAGACATGTGTCCTCCCGCCCTCGTCTCCATCATTGCCGTCCTCTAGGTTCAACTCTCTCTAACTGGGCAACGCTGCTCTTAAACGTGGCCTCGGAGTGAAGCACCCAGGTCCAGGTGTCCATCAGCTCCAAGAGCAGGGGGCTAACACCCTGGGTGCCCCCTCCCCACCACTGACCTCGTGGTCTACCTACACCCCTGGATTTCTTCATAGTGACTGCCACCAAGCCCAGTCTCTCCTCCCTCCTATATGCTGCATCGATTTTTGTTTGTTTTAACCAAAAGCAGAACTCCATCCCTGCGAAATTTCATCTAGTTGGTTTTAGTCCAACATTCCAGCCCGAACAAATCATCTCCATTCTGGCCTCTGTCATCTATCACACTTGATCCGATCCACTCCACTGGGGGTCATCTGAAGATTCTTTAAGCAACCTCCTGAGTTTTCATCCAAAACGCTAATTTAGGGGGGGAAAGATGAATGCACACATGCATACACTTAGACCTTTTCTTCTTTCTTTAACCAGGACAGGGCCGAGGATGGAATCCCCCGGGAGACTGTTACTCTTGACATCTAAGTCAGTGTTTCTCAGGAAGTGGTCCACGGACCGCAGCACAGAATCACCTGGAGTGCCTGTTCAAAGTGTAGTTAAGGGGCGCCCACCCCGGGCCCACCGAGTCAGTATGGTCCTGGAACAAGCACTTTAAAACAAGCTCCCCACATGCTTCATGTGCCTAATACACACGAGCTGCAGTTAGGTGATCCGGTGTGTGAATCAGGATTCTTTGGATTCAACCAGGATTGTTCAACCTTTGATTCCATTTAACCGCACCACCGTCCCGTCCGTCTCTCTCCACCGCATCCACACGGAGACTGTGAGGCCTTGATGAAAGCCCAGCTGAAACAGTCATATGTTAGACATATTCTCTTTCCATCATCTTCCCTTTGGTAACTTTACTTTAAAAAGAGATTTTATTATGCTCTGAAAAATACCTTTGTCTGCTCCTCATGTTTCTAACCTTCTCTTCTAGTTATGTGTGTCATGATCTAGAGTTTTCTGGGGATTCAGCATCCTTTCAGGCCTCCCTTTCCCTGTTTTTGAGAACGGGGCATTCTAGTTCTGTGCCTTCTCCTAGTCTGTGGACCTATCGGAGATGCCCAGCAGGGGTTGTGCAATTGCACACCGTCTTCCAAGGCCAGAAACTGCCTGGCTGTTTAAAGAGGGTCCCTCAGCCCCCTCCTGGTGTCAGTGGTCCTGCCTGGGCCCTACCCACCATTCTGCTTGAGGGGAAAAACAGAATAAACGAGTTGGTGGTTCTGCCCTCTCTCTGGTGGGACAACACCACTACATTTCCCACATGTAAGATCACCGTCCCCAAATAGAGGAGCACGGGATCTCTTCTCACACCCCATCTCCTTTTTGGGGACCCCCTGATCGTAGTTTCTTCTATGGATTACCTCCTTCTTCTCTGACCCTTGTTATCAGAGCCCTATTCTCCCCCCTAGTCCCCCGCCTCACCTCCCATCCTCCACCTCTGCTTTTTCTACTCCTTCCCTGCCTCTCTCCCTCGGCTCACTCCGCCCTGGCTCCAACTGAGCACAACTCCAGCAGAGCTGATTGCTGCCTTCCACGTCACCGACCCAAGGTCATCTTCCAGCCCCGCCTCCTCTGAGGCGTGCTGCCCCGTGGCCCTGCGCCATTGTGGCTTTCCTCATCCTTCCTGGCTCCCCCTTGCTCCCCGAGGCTTGGTCCTGGGCCCTCTTCCCTTCCCACTCTGCACCCCTCCTTTACCAGATTGCACCTGCATCCATGGCCTCTGTGCTGTCCACTTTCATGACCCTGAATTTCTAAGTCCAGCCTTGACTTTCCATGGGTGCCCTCACCATCGTCACTTGGATGCTTCAAAGGCACCTTAAGCCCAACCCACGTGGTCCCCGCCGTGGCCTTCTGCCTCTCTCTGGTTCTCTGCCAGCGCGTTGCATCTCAGCGGACAGCATCACATCACCCGTCCAGCTGTTTAAGCCAGGACCCTCCTCCCTCACCCCCCCATCCAGCTCACCACCAAATGCAGGCCCTTGTCCCCTGTCCAAGTGCGAGGCCCATGGCTCTTGGCCTGGGCCACCTGAGAGCCCACCCTCTACCCTGTGGTCAGTGCGACAATCTCATCACTGGACCTGTCCTGGGCCTGTTTGCCCTTTAATCTGTTTCTTCCCATCCCTCACTCTGCTCTCCACCATGGAGGGCTGACCCCCTCAGACTGAATTTCTCAGGCTCCCCTGCCAGTTGGCATCTGGTGGGTTTGACCAGTGGGGGCACTGGCAGGAGACTGGAGGCGGAGGAGGGGGAAGCCAGGGTACTTGTCCCCCTCCCTCTGCAGCAGCTGCTGTGTTTGCCATGTGGCTCCGGCCCGCTGCGGTTCCTGCTCCCGTGGGGACACCGCCTCTCCTTCTGTCCCTCTGGCCTGCAGGTGGTTGTGGCTCCTGCTGCTGTTAATCTCGGAGTCTCTCTCCGCCCCTTCTGGCCCCCGAGCTCTTCCATCACCCGGGCCACCACTTCTTCATGTTCTGAACACTCCGTGGTCTGGTTTCTGGTTAGACCTGACTTATGAGGTCCCCCTGCCTCCTCGCCAACCCCCTGCTTACAGTGGCTCCCACTGCTCTTAAATAAACACCTAAATCCCTGACAGAGCCTGGAAGCTCCTGTGTGGTTTGGGTCCCGTCTGCCTTTCTTGTGTCTTCTCACACTATCACCCATGCCCTCTGTCTTCCACTGCATTTACCGCTGATCCTGCCACCCCTGCAGCCCCCCACCCCAGTCCCCTCATCCACCCTCTCTGCTTGGGGCGCGCTGGATTCTCTCAGTTCCTTAAACATGCCGTGCCCCCTCCTGCCACAGGGCCTTTGCACACACTCCTCTTCCCTCTGTGGGGACGTATCTCCTCCCACCTTACCCCTACCTGTGCCTAGTTAATGCCTCATCCTATGATCTTGGTGCCTTTGTGACGCCAACTCGGGTAGGCCACCCGACTCTGCCTATTCCTTTCCTCCAAACCCCCTCCTCAGTTTACAATTATTCCAATCAAACAAGTGCAAGATTCTCTGCCTCCCTAGTCCACCAAGAGCTGCAAGAAGGCAGAATTGATGCCTGCTTTTTTTTTTTTACCACTGGCTCGCTCTTGCCTGGCACAAGGAACATGTAGAATTTTGTAGACTGAGTCATGCCACATGCACCTTGTGTTCTGAGTTTTCTTTAACTGGCAGGTGATTATTACTTATTGGAATTGACCCTCCAAAGTCATCCTTACTGTTCCAAAGTATTCTTCTTTGTAGAGACTTTGTAGTGTTTCAAAAAAATCTGCGATCACACGAGAGGGCTCCCTGGGTGGCAAGTACCACCGAGCTCCTGTCTGCGGGGAGTCATACTCTTTGAACTCCCGACCCGGGCTGTGCTCTCTCCTTTAAGTTCATGATTGAAGCCCCTTCCACGTGCTTAGGGCTTTGTCTTCCCTGCAGCGCTGCTCCGGTTCTTGCCCATCTTTTGCCTTTGACAGCCTCATGCTGCAGGCATGACGGGATCGGGGGCGGGCTCTACTGGAGAAGGACCTGCAGTGGCGAGGTGAGCCACCAGGATGGGAACCCCGGCATCCCCAACCCCAGGCTCCCTGTGTCCTGTCTGCCCCTCATCTTGCTGCTGTGACAGCGGGGTGAGTCCCACTGTGGGTTCAAGGACATAATGGGCACTTAGCAATGAGGGAATCCATCTATCCCTCGAGGGACCACCCCCAAAAGCATCTCAGGGTGGAGCTGAGCCTTTTGGAAAAACCTCTGCAGACAAGAAAACAAGAAAAATACAACCGAAAACAGGGCCAATGTGTGTGTGGACACCGCCTGGGCAGCACAGGCTCTTACGCAGAGTTAGAAATCCCCCCTTCACCCTCCAAAGCAAAGAAGACCCGGCCGACGGCACTAAGAGCTGCTGATCTCGTGAGATGATGAGTTGCTTGGGGCTACAGTCAGACTTTCTCTGGCCTCACAGACCCAGGGCAGCAGGTGGGAGGGGACAAGGAGGCAGAGAGCAGAGATGCCCTGTTTGGGCATGCCACCTGGTCAACCGCTCAGGGAGCTCCCTGGGGGGCTGCCAGGCACACCGCGTCTGGACTGGGTTGGGGCACACTAGGGAGACCCCCATCACTACCCCAGGCATCCAATTCCTGTTGCTTGGCAAGAAAAGGGACAGCTTTCATGCTGGGGACAGGCTCTCCCATCGAGGGACCCAGAGCTCAGTCAGGGGAATATGGCCAGACAGCTGATGAGCCATTTGGGGTTTGTTGGGGGCTGGTGGCAGGGGAGTGGAAGGGGGTCTCTTGGTCATGGGGCTAGCCACTGGCAAGACACAGATGGTCAGGCTCCCTTTCATCCACTGTGTCCACGGAGTGGGCCCTGGGCCGGCCTCGCCCCCTGCAGACCGAGAACAGGACAGAGGGACACTCACCAGCAGATGAGCCCGGCCACCACGGCCGTCCAGGTGACGCAGCAGGAGCTGCGCCGCTTGGCCTGCACCGCGTCGTCCTGCCTGCAGCAGCACACACAGACCAGGTACGCCGTGAGGAGGATGAGGTGCAGGCCCAGGCAGACGGCGGCCACCAGCCCCAGGAACAGCAGAGACTGAAGAGGGAGAGGCCAGGGGTCAGCACTTGGTCCCATGGGGGGGTGCGGGGGAAGCGCCCTGCCCCTGGGCCCTGAGCTCCCCCTGGGGCTGTGGGTGCAGGAACCGGGACTGAGCTGTCTGTCGCCCATCCTCCCTCCTGCTCCGATTGAAGCTCCTGCTCTGGACACGGAGTGTCGGGCACCAAAATGGGTGAGGTGTGGGGAGAGATGGAGCTCAGGCTCCGGTGGGGGCCGAGGACACGAGACCAGTGGGTGGGCTGTGGTCAGCTGAGGTGGAGGTGAGGGAGGAGCTGCTCAAGGCTGGCCCCCAGGTCTGTGGCCCCCAGCCCCACATGAAGACCTGGACTGCGCTCTGCCTGAGGACGGGCTCAGAGCTGCTCAAGAGCCAACATGGGAGTGATCACCCGACAGTGAGGGCTGGGGGCGCTGAGCTGTGGGACTGAGGGAGACAGACGTCCAAGCGCAGCAGAGTATCCGAGACCTCCTGGAGGAGATGGAGCTTGAGCAGGATGTCTCAGAAGCTAAGTGGGACCTGGGACAGCCCAGGAAGGGGCAGCCTGGCACATCTCCTTCCTCTGAGCCTTGTTCGAGGTGTTGGGGTCTATCCAGAGAAACAAGAAGCCAGCTCTGTGCTGGGGGAGCAGGGGGAAGTCAGGATGTACACCTGCAGAGTCCCTTTCACTGCATCCCGAAAGGGACAGCTGAGCTCCAGGTGCCAATGGTAGGAGCAAAGCCCAGAATTCTGGAGGGGGCAGGAGGTGCCGTCTCGGGCCCGCTGAGCACCTTGGGGTGCCGCAAAGGGAGCTGCTGTCGGTCAGGAGACCCACAGTGCCACCCCCCCAACGCCCTCCACCCTCTTGATTCAGCCAGATGGGCACCAGATGGCACTAGGATTGGTGGCCGCCAGCCAGTCCTGGACCTGGCTCTATGTCAGGCTCCTGAGCTGACAGCCTCACCCTGCTTTCCACGTGCCCCCTGAGTGGTGCCCATCCAGAACCCCAGCGCTCCAGTCTTGCCTGTCAGCCAAGACCCGTATGCTGGCAGTGGCCATCGGCAGAGTAGGGGAGATGCTGGGACCTCTCCGGTCTAAGGAGGAGACAAGCCTTGTGCCGGAACACACACACCAGGAGACAACACTGAAAATCAGAGGCTGGGGTGTGTGGTCCTGAGGCCTGAGGCCACTGGGGGTGGGAGGAGCCTCACAGTGATGAAGGCACCTGCTAGCCCTGCCCTGCCCCTGTGATGGCTCGAGCTGCTCTACAGGTCACCTGGACCAACAGGCTTCTGAGCCTCAGCGACAAATGGCTGAAGTCATGGGGACAGCCCAGAAGATGGCAGGAAAGATGACTCGTTTGGGAGTAGAGAGGTGGATTTGACTTAAACTGGGGCTTTCACCTCCACCTGGGATAAATACGTCACAGGTACTGTCAGGAACCTGCCGCCCCCCTCGCCTCCCTCGCTCGGCAGCATGGATGCTAAGCCCTCTTCCAGGCAGCTGGGAAGGCCCAGGGCACCTGAACACATCACCCCTGCTGAAGGCGTCACGGGGGGGCAGGGGCGGGGGCTCTCCAGTCTGGACCACTAGACCCATCCCAAGTACTGACCCAGGAGGCCCCTGCCCTGTGAGACAGTGGAAAGGAGCTGACACCTTCCCACCCCAGCCCATGACCCTGTAGCCCCAGGCTGAGGTGAAGGGGCCAAGGACAGAACCTTGCTACTCAAAGTGGAGTTGACTGACCCACGACCCACCCACGGCACTGGCATCTTCTGGGAGCTGGTTAGAAATGCAGACTCTCAGGCCCCACCCTAGACCTAGTGAATCAGAACTGCCTCCAGAGATGATCCCAGGCCATCTGTATCCCATTCAAGTCCGGGAAGCCCTGGATTAGTGTCAGTGGAAGCTCTCCAACTTTACCCAGCAGCTTAGCCTTTTCTTCAAACAGACTCACTTAGTGGAGCCCCGATATCAGAGCCTTCTCTGATTGAGGAGTGGATGGAAATGCCATGCTTTGTCTTGGCCACCCCGTGTCAAGCCCAAGGCCCTTCTGCTAAAACCCAGGGAGCCCCTTAACAATTTGCAAACCACTGTGCAACATGCACAGTCTGTGACCTAGCAATTCCACTCCTGGAGAATTACCTTACAAAAAGGAGAGCTGGTGTCCCCACAAGATACACACACAAATGTTCACAGCACATGACACAGCAGTATGAGCCATGGGAAACAACCCAGATGTCCACCAATGAGAGAATGGATACAGAAAATGTCTTCTAGTCATAAAATGGAATACTACGCAGCGGTGAAGAGTAAACTGTGGTTACACACAGCAATGTGGATGAACCTCACAGACGTAATGTTGGAGGAAATAAGCCAGACGCAAAACAGCAGAGACTGTATGTGTCAATTTACATAAAGTGCAAACTCAGAGAGATTAATCTGTAGAGACGGAGGTCCGGACAGGAGCTACCTTTGGGCAGGTCTCGACTGGGAGGGAGCATGAGGGAGCCTCCTGGGGATCAGGAATATGCTTTAATCGGGATGGTGTCACACACACAAGCACTGAGGTGCGTAAAAGTTTCCTGTAAGTTATCCCTACCGAAAAAACTAACAAAAACCCAGACAAACCTTTTGTATCAATTAGAGCCAGGTTAGTACCTAGACTTCTCCCGGCGACCCAGACTTCTAGCTTGCGTTCTGGACAGTTCCACTCTCAGTCTATCCCCAGATGGGAACCCACTGACTCTACCATGTGTGCCCACCCAGCAAGGAAGGGCCTCCTAGAAGTGGTTAAGACATGGGTTGGTGCCATTTCCATCTCCAAACCACAGCCTGTTCCCACCCCACCTTTGTCCCTGCAGTGGGCTCCCCTATTCACGCTCTCTCAGTCCATGACAGCCTCCCGACCTCCTGCAAGTCCATCCCGTGCAGGGCCCTGGGACTCAGCAGCGGGGCCCTAGCCGGACTGCTGGCCTCAAGTAGGTTACGGAGAACGACCGCCCAGCCCCGGGGAGGCCACGCAGGGAACGCAAATGAAACGCAAATGCGGAGGTCCTCCGTTAGCGCTTCAGCCTCCAAGTCTCCCAGGGGAGGGAGGCCAGAGTGGGACTGGAGCGGAGGGGGTTGGAAAGAGGAAGGGAGGGAGGTGGGGGAGGAGGAGGGAAGGAAGAGGAGAACAGGAAGGAGGAGGGAAGTGGAGGTCTAACCAGCAAAGCCGTGTCCCAGCCACCTTGCCTTTCTACTAGGCAATCATTTTCTTGCTCCTAATTGACACTCCAAGTCCCCATGGGTGTGGGAGGGGGGTGCAGTGTGGAAGAGGGAGATCTTGCCTTCCAGAGGGAGCGGGGATCTCTGCTCACACGCCCTCCTGCTCTGACAGACAGAGCCCAGAAAGAAAGGACAAGTTCCCACATCGCCCAGTGCCTCCTCCCCTCCAGCGCCTCCCCCTGCCCTGCAGCCGCCACCGCCGCCTGGGCTGCCCCAACCCCGTGTCCACAGCCCCCACATCAGGGCTCGGGTTCCAGCCTCTCTCCTCATCAAAGTGACTTCCATTAGATCTGGTTTGTCACTTTGTAACCGAAACCCAGAGCACAAGCCAGGACCCAAGCTGGGGACAGCAGGGACTGACGGGGACAGCAGGGACTGACGGGCACTCTGAGGAAGCCTCTGCTGCAGCTGGACGCCAAGGGGCTTCTGCACTAGGTGGGGGAGGAGGCAACAGCCTGAGCGTCCCTCACCCAAGACCCCAGGAGACAGTCAGACAGAGAGCCCGACTAGGGTGAGGCCAAGGGGAGGGGCGCTGGGGTACACAGTGGGAACACTTCCTGGGGCCGGTAGGGGGTGGGGGACAATGTGACTGTCCGATGACCATGACTCAGTGTTCACACTGGATGAATGGGGCTTCCTCATCCCAACTTTGGCTCCTCTCAAACCCCACAGCTGGGCTCCCCGCCTGCCCCATCCTCCTGACACTTGCCCCCAAGTCGTGGGGTGGGGGGAGGCGAGGGGAGAGGGCACGGGGAGAAGCCCTGTAGTTCTGGGTCCAGCCCCCACTCTGTCCTCTCTCTTAGCCTGAGGACACACACTCGAGACTCTCTGGGGAGTCTGTGAACTGAACTACCCAAAGTTAACATTTGACAACGCTTGCCTAAGTATAAAAAGTCCAAAACATCTCCTCTTCCTCCTCGTGCGTGTCCCAGAAGAACAGCTGGTCTCCGAGGCCAGGAGAGGAGGGCCGGGCGGGAAGCACCCCCGAGGTTCCTGCACGCCGGAGGCAGGAACAGCAGGCCTGTGCGTGGCACTGGGCACTTACCAAGACATCTCAAGCCCACTAGCATATCAGAGTCAGGTCTCCTCCAGGGTGGATCAGGGACGGGGACAGTGACACCAACTCCCGGGGCGAGGAGGAACCCGAAGCTTGTTCTGGGAGACACAGCTGGATGCTGTGCCAGGTGCCCTTTCTGCTGTCCCCAGCTCTGCGCAGCAGGTCCCTGGCCAGCTGGGGTCCCCTCCTTCCCAAGCCACACTTGTGGCAATTTATGCCGTGCCAGGCGGTGCTGGCCACAGGCGTTTCAGCCTCTAACTCCTGCGTCCTTTCGTTATCCCTTTGAAGTCAGGATCATCTCCATCTCCGCTCCTTCTCGTGCACTAAAGGTGAGCAGACTCAGGCCGGGGGTCTGGACTGCTTCCCCCCAGACACAGCACTCGGGGCCGGGAGCTTCCTCCACCTTGGTGCTCACCTCGCTGCTCTGCGGACCCGCGGGCGACCTCCCAGGAGCCTGGTGGACGTGGGCCAGGGCCTGAGCAGGGACCCAGGATCAAATCCCCTGAGGGGTGGAAGGGTCACCATCAGGGGCTTCCCTGCTGCCCAAGACCCCAGGATGTGAGTGGGAGGCTCTGGGAGCTGAATGTGTGCAGGATTCTCCCGTTTACCAGGCGACCTGCCCTTGAGGCACCTGCATTCTTCTTCCCTCTGCCTCCCAAATCCATGCACGGCCGCCCCCTCCCCTGAGCTTTCCTCCAGGCCTGCACCTGCCCGTTTCGGTCTCCACTTAGTCTTTGGTGTACACACACACACACACACACACACACACACACACACACTGTACCACAAGCCAGCACTGTCCAGTTCTACCTGTGTTTTCCAGTCTTCCCTGATCAGGGCCTGTAGCTCTCTTTCCTCGGGGTCCTGGATTTGGACATGTTGCTGGACCTCAAGGCCAGTCTGCCTAATAATTCATATCCCTGGGTCCCACGATGTGCTATGGGACCCTCTACGTACCAAGTATGTTACATGGAATAGCTCATTTAACACTTGCAGACGAAGGAAGCAAGGCTCAGAGAGGTACAGACACCTGTCATGGACACACAGTAAGTGATAAAACTAGGATTCTAATCCAGACAGCTGGATGGCAGAGGCCCAACCCCACCTACTCAGCTGCCGCAGCAGCGAACCCAGAGGCCCTGGCTGTCTTGGTCAACGTGTCACTCCACGTCTGGCACAGAGCTTGTCCCTAATCAAGTTTGCTGAATATGACTGATAGCAGAAGGTACCCAATCCATGGTGTTAAGTGACCTGCTGCCTGACTCTGGCAGGGACTGCCACTCGGGAGGAAAGGGGACGTCCAGGAGAGACCCATGGTCAGACAACAGGGGAACTTACCAAAATAGGAGCTGCCTTAAATAACACCCAGAACCAGACTTCCCCTCCAGGCCCACCACACTCATCTCCCATTCAGGGCCCTCGGGAGGCCTAAGTGGAACAGGAGGGCAGGGTGGGGCTCGTGTCAGGCTGCCCAGGAGCCGTGGCCCACCAGTAGGGGATGCCCTCTGGGGTCACTGGATGCCCAGCACAGTGTGCCAGGGTCAGAACCCTGAGAGGACGGGGCAGGGACTGCGAGTGGGTCCCTCTGGCTCAGCTGCCACCTCTCCATGGGACTGAGAGGGGTGGGGCAGGCTCAGACCCTGCCAGCCACAGCAGCTGGCCAGACAGGTGCGATCTCTGGGGCCCAGAGGGGTACGGGAGTCCCCCAGCACGCCTCCCCACACTCGAGGTCTTCCTGGCCCAGCCTGGACTTTAGATTTCCTGCAGCGGACAGGGGAAGCTATGGCGAGAGACTCTGGGTGCAGGCTGTGGGGTGCAGGGTTTGGGGCACACGCACACGTGCAACAACACAGCTGTCTCTGAAATCATATCCGCCCTCCTCTTTTCATGCATTCACTGGGAGCGGAAGATCCCCTCCAGCTATCCCCAGGCAGCCACATTCTCAGGGAACACCGACTTCCACAGGCGGGGCTTGGGGGAGGGCGGGGCAAACCCGCCCAGCTGCCTCCTCCATCGCTGCCAGCCAGTGGGTTCCCGCCGGACAGCAGGAGCGGGTCCTGATTCTCCCCTCCTCGGGGAAGGGCAGCTACCGTCTGCTTGAGGCCAGAGGGTGACAGGGACACTAGGGGTTATTATTAGATTCTCGGTCACCAGTGCAGTGCACACTCTCCGGGATCAGGATCCTCCGGGCCTTGCAGGAGAAAGGCCTGGCGGGGCAAGAGGTGAACAGCTGACTCCCAGCTCGGCCTCCAAGAGGCCCCACTCCTCCAGGACCAGCCCCATTCCACCCGAATGAGCCCCACACCGGGAGATCCTGCAGAGAACCTGACACTGCAGGCAGAGGCCGCCGGGGCTCAAAGTCCCCAGATGGGCGTGTAGCTCTGAACAAATGGGCCCGGCCTGGGCTTCCCAGCCCCTGCATCTTTGACCCAACAGAGAACTGACTCAGCCAGACCACAGGAGCTGGAAGCAGCCTGGCCAGACGTGACAGGGCTGGGAGATTCTGCAGCTCTGCCTGGGCAAGAAAGTCTGGGGACCGGCCGCCCCACACACACTACTGGGTGCAGAAACCACAGAGGGAAGGGCCAGCAGAGCAGGGAAAGGGTGGAATTGCAGGGGGAGGGGAGTGGCTGGCCAAGAAGCCAAGACCTGGGAAATAGAGAGCCTAGAAGGTGTGTATGTGTGGGGGAGGTGACGGTGGTGTGACACGGCGCTGATCTGGGGCCACCTTCCTTCTCCCAAATACCCAACATGTGCCTCTGGTTCTCAGCTCACCAGAGGCAAGTCGCCCCTGCCGCCGCCCCCAGATGGGGCCCAGGCAGAGGCGTTGGCAAAGGCTCCCCGCCTGCAGGCAGGGGCTCCTGGGGCGGGGGGCGGTGGGGGGTGCTGCCGAGACGGACTCGGGAGACTCCGGTCAGTTTCTGCCCAGACTTCTCCGAGGCCACCCAGTCCCGGTAAGGGGAGCGCCCGTCTTGGAACCGCAGGAGGAAAGCCCGGGGGCGCCCCTCGGCGTCCCCACAGCTCGCGCGCTGGAATTATCCGGGTACGGGCACAAATGCTCCCACCTGGGCCCGCGCTGCCCTCCCCCTCGGCGCTCCCCTCCCCTCCCCGCCCTTCCGCCGCTTCCCCATCGCCAGCTCCACTCCTATCTGTCGAGTTTCCCCGGCACATGAGCTTCCCAGACGGGAGGGCTGTGGGCCAAGGGTCCCGGGGGAAAAGGGCTTTGAAGAGGTGAAGGGAAGGGGCTGCGGAGGAGAGTGGGAGGGGTCTGAGAGGCGGGTGGAGGGTGGCAGACTGGGGACGGGAGAAACGGTGGTGCTGGGACTTGGGGCGCCAGCCGTGGCCCGGGAATGGGGCGGCGCGGACTCACCTCCCGGTAACTCTCGTCGCGCGGGCTGAAGGTGCTGTCCACCGGCTGCAGGCGCAGGCCGAGGTGCGGGACGCTGTGCAGCCACACCACCCACCAGGGCGCGACGTACTCCACGCGCGCGGCCGGCATGGCTCGGCCCGAGTGCGCCCGCCCGCTGCGCCCGCCGCTGCCGCCGCCGCCGCCGCCACCGGCCCGGGACGCGCGCCCGCCCCGCCCTTCCAGGCCCCGCCCAGGGCCCCGCCCCTGAGCGCGCCCACCCCGCCCCCTCCGGCCCGGCCCCCTGCCCTGGGCGCGCTCTCCGGCTGCAGGCGGTCGTGCCCAAGATCCCGCAGCCTTTTTCTGGTCCGGAGTCCGTCCTGACCCCACAGGCGAAAGAGGTGGAAGGAGCAGGGAAAACAGCCCAGAAGGCTCCTGAGTCTGGACTTCACAGCAGTCCCTGGGTCCCGGGCCTCTCACGCCTTCTGCCGGATGAAGGACATAAAGTGTCAGCGAGCGCAGCGGGCAGTCTGGCAGGAGAGGTGAGGCTGCCGTTCCGAGGGCTGACGGACTGGGGACGGAAGGGAGCAACACTCAGTCCCTGGGTCACTAGTTCTCAATTCACCCCCAATCGCTTACTGAGCATCATTGTGTAAACCACGTGGACGCAAAGAGAAAGAGGACGTGGTCCTGCCCTCGCAGCGCCCGGCCCGTCTGCCCCAGCAACGACCTGGGGCCACCTGGAAGGAAGCACAGGGGCCTGAGAAAGCAGCTGGACCCTGCCCGGCAGGCGGGACCGGCGGGCCTCCCGGAGGAGGGGCCCCTCGAGCTGCGCAGAGGGGAGGGGAGGAGAGCTCTGCCAGCGCCGCAAGGGACCCGAGAGCCGTCAACTCACACACATTTCCTGAGCACCTACTCTGTGCCAGGCACTGTCCTCTCGGTGAACGAAGGCCGACGAACACGCTTGCCCGGAGGGAGGGTGCCGCGCTTCTGCGGGCGGGTGGTGGCCGTGCACACAGACGGACGGAAACCATGCGATGCGGCAGGGTGCTTCGGAGAAAAGCAAAAGCAGAGCAGGGGCAGCGGGCCTGGACGCGGTCGGGGCTAGCCGAAAATCTGAGAAAGCCTCGCGGATGCTTCGCCCAGGGCTCTGAGCGCTTACGGAAGCCCCGGGGATGAAAGGGCCACCGTCCCGCAGCTGCAGGCAGCGTGCCGTGTCGGCAGGACGCGCCGGCCGGGCCAGGACCGGGTGAGGCTGGAGACAGGGTCAGGGCAGGGTGAGACCGGAGCCCAGGAGTTAAGGGGTCGTAAGAGGATGGGGCTTGGGCTGCAGACAGGGCTCGGGCAGCCAGTCTGAGGGGTAGTAGCCCGGGCAGGGGGCGGGGGGTGGAGCGGGTAGTGGGCAGAGCCCTGGTGAGAGGACACCCGAGAGAGACCCCTCGGTTTCTGCCTCGGGGAGCAGGGTGGGTGCGGGGACCCTGAAGAGGCCTGCAACATGCATGGCTGCTGCCGCTAACCAGGCCCTTCTCAGAGATTCCGGTGTCTTGTAGTCCTGGTCACCATTCCCTGAGCCTGACTTCGGCCATGTCATCTGTGCATGCCCAGAGCTGAGGCTGAGTGGGGCTCAGAGGCTGGAGACCACTCGCTCTTATCTCACAGGCGATTTTCTTTCATAAATTCAACAAATTTTGATTGAGCACCTTCTCTGTTCTAGGGGATATAGTGATGAAGAACACAACTACGCCTGTCTGCACGGGGTCCAGGGTCTAATAGACTAGGAGGGCAGCCTTTACCCCACCCTGAGGTTAACCACAGAGCCTGGAGCGCTTTCACCAGGCAGGTGTGGCGTGTAAAGGGGGACCGAGGCCTGGGCAGGATGCTTCATGAGGAAGGACACCTGAGGTGAGAGATGAAGCATGATGAGGATTAACTCGGCTGTCCCAGGGGAGGACTTGGAGCAGAGGGACAGTACCTATGAGGCCCGGGACCCGGCAGGGGGTAGAGAGGAGACCAGCCAGTACAAACCCCGGAGTGAGGGGGTGACAAGGAGGAGGGAATGGAAATCCGCAGGGACAGGGCACAGATCTGGGGCTGTTTGCTGGCTGGGGGGCGAGAGGGAGCTCTGGGCGCTGGAAATGTGCTCTCTGACTGCAGTGGTGGTTATACAACTGTAGACGTTTGTCAAAATTCATAGTACTGTGAACCAAAAAGGATGAGTTTCCCTGTAAATTATACCTCAATAAGCCATACTTTAAAATAAACACCTTTACTAAAAAAAAAACAAACAATGAGAAAAGAGGCCGGCGAGGTAGCAAGGGCCAGATCATAAACCGCCTGGCTGGGAGGGGGTTTGGTCTTGGAAGCGGCCGCCACTGGTTGCCTGGTTGCTGAGAAAAATGGGCCTGCAGCAACTTCGTGGGGCCCTCAGTGGGTGCTGACAACCAGTTGGACACGCAGCCTGGAACCTCGCCGGCAGGCACTGCCTGGTGCGGTGCACACCGTCGTCCCCTCCCCTCCTCCAGGCCAGCAGCACAGAAGGCTACAGCCGCTGATCCTTGCCACCAGCCTCCCAGGCCACCCGGAAGTCAGGAGGACGTGGCATTCCTCTAGGGAGATTAGTCACAGCTGTGAACTCAGAGTGCTGTAGGAGGGGAGGGAGGGCGAGATACCAGAGACCCCAAGTGGGAGGGGTCTGCCTCCTGTGGAGTGGCATGGAGTCCTGCCCTGAGGATTGACCTTGAACCAGCTCCTTGCGGGAGCTTGAGCTGGGCCCAGAGAGGGAGCGGGTGGAGGAAGGAAGTCGGAAGGCCAGCATCTTGAGGACACTAACTACAGAAGCCCTCCCTCAGGGCTGTCACCGAAGCCACGTGGGTGCAGCTCAGGATACCCAAACCTGCCTGGCTGGTCTGCACCCAGCTGGACAGTGACCGTTCTAGCTGCTTCCCTGGAGGCCTGCTGACCTGGACAGGCGAGCCAGCGAAGCAAACAGCAGAAGAGAACTGAGGCCTCCCAAGGCCTCGTGATGGCACGCAGCTGCACGGCTCACCCGAGCGAGCGGACGAGCTGACCTCGGCAAGGCACGGCTGGCCCTGCCACCTGGGGGCTTAAAGACACACCTCTGCCTCAAACCAACTTGATCAGAATCTCAGGAGTCAGCCCCAGCTCCATGGTGAATTTTTACAAAGGGCCCCAAAGGACTCCAAGGCCTGGCCAGGGCTGGGAGGCGCGGATGAAAGGATGCCTTCTCTGGACACAGAGGCCAGACAACTGCTCGCATGGCTTGTCTCCTAGGAGCTGGGGCTCTTCTCTGGACGATGTGCTGGGACAAAGGGAGCCCGAGAGAGGCAAACCCTCCCTCTTCCTGGGAAGCCTGAACCCTGAGGGCAGGGAAGACTGGAAGCCGCCCCATCGGGGTCTGTCAACCACTGAGCGCCCGTGCACTCCCCTGCCAGAGACAGCACCCACGCCTCTCATGATCGGATTCAAAAACTTCTTCACACCCTTAACACTTGCACAGAAGAAAGTCGGCCAACAAGCAGAGGCACTTAGCTTCTTGGGGGTGGATTTTATCGTGCGGGAGGTTTCCAGGTCTGCAGGGGCTGCTGCTCATTTGCTGTCCTCTAGCACCACCTTGTGGTCCATCCTGACATGACCCCACACTCACCTCCTCTCAAATTTGACAAGCGCCAGGATCGCTTCTAAACCCGTTAGCTCATTTTACCCTCACAATAACTGCTGAAATAGGTATTGCCACAACCAAATGGAAACTGAGGCAGAGTGCTGGGAAAGGCACTCAGCCGCCTAATGGGCCTCGGGGCTGGGACATGTCCTTGCCAAGAGCTAAGGAGCCCACACAGCCTGTGCCATGTCTGCCACGTGTGTGGGATTATCTTCCATTTCAGGCTCAACAGTTTTGTCTCTGCTGAAAACATGCGCATCATATGGCAGCTGACCAGGCACACTGCTATCCGTCCTCCGAGGGGAGGGCTAGGATGAGGGTCCTTGCACTGAGGCATGAGGCCTGTGAAGGCGAACAGCCCTGCTGCTGCGCAGGGGCACAGCCACTGGCCATGGGGACCGGCACCATCTGCTGAAGCTGATCTTGCTGTCCAAGCACTGTCCCATCCACGCCCGTTTTCTCCTTGGTGACTCCCATCCCATTTCAAGGTGAAAGGGGGCAGTTTGTCTGCCCCTGGGAATGCTAACTGGTGCACGCGCTCAACACACGGGTGTGGGAACTTCCAAAGATCATGCAAGTCAGCAAGCGGTAGAACCAAGATTTAATCTCCAAGGAGTTAGGCCTGGCTGGGACCTAACTACTACACGTCAGGATCCAGGCCTTTCTGCACCTGTTTGAGCAGCGTGGCCCACTTGCAACAACACCCTCACCGCCCCCCACCCTGTGAATGCATTTATCCCACTGCCCTCAGAGCCCAGGGTCAGAGCTCGGGCAGGAACCTTGGCTCCTCCCTTTAAATGCAATTGGATGTTAGACCGCTCTGTCAGTTCCAGGCTGTCTTTTCCTGGTTCAGGATGTCCCTTCCTTGAAACACTTGGCCCATTTTGCTAGATGAACACCTACTCATCTCTGCTCTCAGCTTACAGGTCCCTTCAGGGCCCCCTATCTGTACTGTCCTTTCATCTCACTGCACCCCATACTGTTCCTCAACTCCACTTCATCGTGAGTGGCACTAAGGAAACACAGAAAACTGAAGTTTTATTTTTGTGCCTGAGAACCCACAAGCGTCTTAGTCTGGAAAAAAACCAAAAAAATCTTGCCCCTACCCCTGCATCAAGGAACACTTCCACACAGCAGACATTCCAAGGACGGGATGGCTCAGCTTGCAGCCATTTCCAAAATGGCTCATCAACTCCTCTGTTTAACTACCATTTTCATTATCAGGGAACTCATATTACCCGAGACTTTTTGGTGAGGAAGATTGGCCCTGAGCTAACATCTGTGCCAATCTTCCACTATTTTGCATGTAAGATGCCACCACAGCTGGGCAGATGAGCAGTATGTAGGTCCATGCCCGGGAACTGAACCCTTGAACCCCGGGCCACGGGAGTATGTGAACATAACTACTCCGTGACAGGGCCGGCCCCAACCCGTTACTTTTAAATCTCATGGGCGCAGACTGGCTTATTTCCACAAGTATCTGGCTCTTCTAATTGCCCATTTCCATCTATTTATTTTCAAATAGACTAGATTAGGGATGCAAGGAGGTAGCAACCAGGACCCCCATCCTCTTCCCACCTGAAGCCATAACCAAGGAACACCTCCCTTCCCGTCCCCAAAGACAAAGGACACTGAAAAAGATTTTCTTTGGATTTTAATACAGTTCGAATCAGCGTGCCTTGTTCATTTCAGCTCCTTCACTGCCAAACCTAGAGGAAAAGATAGAGAAGTGAGTCACCCAGCAGAGACATTTTATTTGAGTTACTGTTGCACGTGTACATTTTGTACTTAAGCTAAAGAGGGCTCACAGAACTCAGAAAATAAGTGCACGAAGGAGGTTTTGCCTAAAACATGAAGTTAGTGTTTGATAATACCAACACTCGCGCTCTCAGCCTTAAAAGGACCCGCTCAGTCCTCAGAGCCAAGCAGCAGTGGCTGGCTGTTCAGTGTGAAGCAGCCTGCAGCACCCTCTGCTCTCCTCCGGCAGTTTCCCCACGGCTCTCAGCAGCTCTCCTGGGCCTCCGCCACCAAGACCGGCCCCTCTGCTTAAATAAGCTCACGGCCCATCGTATCGATGTGGATTAAGGCTGCCCCAGCTAGAGAAGCCCAAGGTGACCTGGCCTACATGCCAAACTATATGACCCAGTGGACTTTTTTATGGTATGAATTAGGACTGCCCCAGGGAGAGAAGCCCGGGGCATCCTCACCTGCATGCCGATCTATATGGCCAGATTCGTATCTAAAGTTATATGACCGCACAATAACCAGACCCCATCTGCACTGAAATCATTTAATGGCTTTTTACATCATCTTTTCTTTTCTCCAGTAAAAATAAGTCACGTACCCATGCCTTATAAAATTAGCCCTAACCCTCAACTCGGGGCAGCAGCAGGAGCTCTGACTGCCCATGGGTCCTGTCCCCATGCAGAGGCAGCAGCAGGAGCTCTGACTGCCCGTGGGTCCTGTCCCCACGCACCAGCTCTGCCTGCCCATGGGTCCTGTCCCCACGCACCAGCTCTGCCTGCCCATGGGTCCTGTCCCCATGCCAGCGGGGGCAGCAGCGGCAGCTGCAGCAGAAGCTCTGCCTGCCCATGGGTCCTGTCCCCATGCTATTCCACACTATTCTCTAAATAAAAGAGCACTACTGCCAGATCTTGAGAGTCTAAGAAATCTTTCTTTCGACTCCTCGGCTCACCGATCCCGCATCAGTATCTGATCAGTTTCCCAACCTGAACAGGGGGCCAGTGACACCTGTACCTGGTATCAGTGTAGGATTGTGGCGAGGATGAAAGGAGCCACAGAGTCAGGGTTAGCTGTTCCTATCCTGCAGATGGGAGGGAGGGAAGCCAATGTCCCCTGGCCAGGGAACTAGTGCTGCTACAGGATGGAGTCCCCGCGCCCCCGACAGCAAGAGCAGACACGTGGACACACCACAAAGAGGATCTTCCTAAAGCTGGCGATAACTCAAGAAACAAGACGGCGACACACGCACCTGCCATAGCTTTGGCCGCCCCCCGGGACTTCCAGCTCACTCACCTGGCGGCAGGGACTGCTTCAGTTTCTCTGCCTTCTCTTTGTCTGTGATGACCAAGGTATAAAGGTATCTGCTGCATCGAACTTTAAACTTCACATTATCCTTATTCTTCTTGATCTTGACAGCTATCAGAGACGAGAATTAGCAGTTAAATTGTAGCACAGAACACAGACTCACACAGTTCACCTGCTTCATACTTATGCAGAAAGTGGCACTTATGACTGCCACCACTGACAGCTGCGCTCGCTCCCCCTGTACTGCCCCGCTACGACCCCAGTATTTAAAAACAATGTCAGAAATCTAGATTTCCCCTCTTAATACTCAAGAGCCTAAAGCTTAATCTTAATTGGTTTGTTTATATTTAAAGATCTGGTACACTGCACACATCCCAGAACCCTGTGTCCATGCTTTTTTTTAACGGGCTGGAAGTAGTTCATAAAGTAAGCAGATGGATTGTCTGCTGGGATCCAGAACTTTCCACCACTCTACTTCTGGAAATCAATTCTCTGCGTAGGCGACGACATCCTGGGGCAATGGTAAAGCTCTTCCTTCAGGATCCCCCTACCACACACAGCGAGTGTGTGCTGAAGCTTTTCCTACAATTCGTGCAGAACCCATTTTCTGGGCTCTTTACTGCTGCCAAATTCTCTCTGAGGACCACAGCTCAGACACTACAGAGCCCCAGGTGTACGTAAAATTCACAGCGCAGAGTCTGGTCAGGTCCAAGCGCCAGTGCATTTCCCCGAGGCCCGCAGCTGCCCTGGCTGCTGGAAGACACCTGCCTCCCAGGAGTAGCGAAGCCATTTCACCCACCTGTCAAACCCCTTGTTCCAAATTCTTTAAACCAGCTCACAGACACTCCCAAGAACCAGTGGTTACAAGCGCAGGCAAGTGCCAACAGGAGTCAGGTGGCTGAGGGCTGACCACCAGCTCTAGAGCCTCAGCCCAAGCACCGGACACAGAGCATCAGCACCTTCCAGAAGCAGCACAAGGGAACCTGTACTCAGGACCCACGGCTCCAGCCCTGCCCACAGTGCTACAGGGAGAGGGCCTGGCCCAGGAAGCAGAAGCACTGTGCTCTGAGCCGGCCAAGGCCTCCGCTCATGCGTGAATAAACCCGGAAACCTGGACATTCATCAAACCCAACTATTTTGCTCTCTCAACATCCCTCTTAAGGCTACGTACACTGCACTGCCGCAGCAGCTGTCGGACGCCTGTCAACAAAGGTGAACAGTCCTAAGGTAAGACGTGTGGCTCTCTTAAAGAAAACGTTTATTCAACGTTGCCGTATGATGCAGCAATTGCACTTCTGGGTACTCACCCAAAGGAACTGAAAGCAGGGACAAGAAGAGAGACTTGCACATCACAGCAACATCACTCACAACAGGCAAAGGGTGGAAACCGCTCAAACGCCCACAATGGATGAACGGATAAACAAAATGTAGTATATACATACAAAGGATCATTCAGCCTTCAAAATGAAGGAAATTCTGACACATGCTACTACATGGACGCATTCGTTACGCTAAACGAAGTAAGCCACTCACAGCAGCACACAGACTGCATGACTTCACTTATCCGAGGTCCCCACAGCAGCCAAACTGACAGAAAGGAGAACAGCGGTAGGCAGGGGTTGGAGGAAGAGAATGGGGGGTTACTGCTTAATGCGAAGAGTTTGGTTTTGGAAGATGAGTTCTAGACGTGGAGGGTGGAGACGGCTGCACAACCCTGTAAATGCACTTAACATCAGCGAACTGCGCATCTACAAGGTTGATCCAAAAAACACCGAACGCCCTATTATACTCAGGGGACCACGACCCCAACCCTCACAGGCCACACTGTCTACAATCCAGCTCTGTAACAAAATTAAAATGCAAAGGAACCTGATGGATTTATCTGGTGTCATTTCTTCGGTGTGCTAGGGTATCTAACGGAGCATCTGATCTGACCCTGGCACCAATCGCGAGATACCACCACCCCTGTCGGACCGACAGAAGGAACTGGTGGCGTCGGGTTCAGCTTGTCAAGGACAGCTGGCTACTGGGAGAGCAGGGATTTGAACCAGGCAGCGACCCAAATTCCCAGATCTGAGCTGAAACTAACGTGATAATCACCTCTCTTTACAGCACCACAGCATACAAGACACAAGCAGGCAGTCGACAACCACTGGGCAGGGCAGACATGCCCACCAGACGCTACTTGTTGCCACATGTCGTCACCAGTTTACACTGTACCAGAGAACTGAAGGCTCCACACAGGTAAGGGGGACACAAATAAGACTCTCCCGTCCCCCTGGGAATCCACTAACAGGCTCTGCTGCGCCCCACTGTTTCATCCTATCACTGACTTAGGACGTTAGAGACGACCAGCGTCCCAGCCCACGCCCACACGTCGCCCAACAGGGCTCTCCTTCCACCAACTACCCGATTTTCTCCACGACAAACCCGTGAGAGAGAAAGCAAGCCATAAGGACTATCTGACGCAGCAGGAAAAGGACGACACAACGTATGAATTCAAGATCGACTCTGTGTAACGCACAAGCCCCCAAACCCCCTTGAGCTGCAACAAAGGGCTAACAGCAGGATCCCCTCCCACGCCTGGTGTGAAAACTGAGAACCTGCAGGCAGCTGTGGGCGACACGTTATCAACCCAAACCCAGCTGTTCTACATGTTTGTCGCATCGACTCCTTCCCCCCTCACTTACAAGCTAAGAAACAAACACACGTGGTACTCAGTATCTGCACGCGGCCCACGGGACACACGTCTACAAGACTGTTACCCAATACAGAGCACCTACGCACTCAACAAAGCGAAAACGAGGCAGGCCGATTTCTTGGGGGTTCGCGATCGGCTGGGGGAGGGGGAGCCAACACGTGAGCCGGCAGAAAGCGCGAGCGAGCCGCGGCTCGCGGACAGCCGGGCACGCGGAGCCCGAACGCACGGCCACCGCCACCCATCTGGCCCTCGGCGCCGGCACTTACACTTGGCATCCTTCCGCCGCGCCGTGAGCAAGAAATCCTTGATCTCCTCGATTTTGCGAGGCTATAAGAAAAGACACGGGGAACGACCTGCAAACGTGCTTTATCTGGCGGTGGCCAGCGCACCCGCCCGGCCCGGAGACCCCCGCCCGGCCGCGCCCGCCCCTACCTACCCGGGAGGTCCCGGCGGCCCAGACTCACCATGACTATGAGGGGCGCGGGGCGGCGCGGCCGGCACCTGAGGGAAGACAAGCGTTGGCGTCAACACAGCGCGGGGCCCCGCAGCGACCCCGCTGCCCCTCCCCGCGGCCCGGAATGCCGGCCCCATAGCACTCCATCCTCCTCTCCCGCACCGTCGACCCAGGCCCGGGGTACCCAAGTCTCACCCTGCCGTGGATTACCCCGGATTACCCCCTAGTTCCCGAGTACCGCCCAAGACACTTACAGCAAGCGGCAAGAAGGGAAGAGAACGGAAAAGGACGAGACTTCCGTTTCCGGGCAGTTAAACCGACCCCCAGAGGAAACTGGGTACGGTGTCTGCAAAGGGTCAAGAGTTATTAGGCGTTCGCCCTACCCATGGCAGCATCTCTGCCCCCTTCTGGCCTAGATTAGTAGTGCAGCTTCAGAATGCAATGGACTGCCACCTTCTCCACACCCTCTCTTCTCCCCGCGCCCCCCCCCACCCCAGGCCCCATCTTGGCTTTGCTAGATTTTATTTCAGATCCAGTTTGAAGACCTAAAACTTATTATCTATGCCTTCATTAGACCTGTGCACTGGGCATCTACACAGATTTTCTCATTTAAATGAAGTGTTCTTCTTAAGTACATTTTGAAACCTCTTTCCAAGGGTTTCCCACATTTCCTTCTGGTCTCCCCTTCCACGGACATCTAATCTGTCCCGCGCAGGGCCCATTTGCTCTCCCCTTCTCATTTTATGGAGCTTTTCCCCTTGCTGCTTCCAATTCCTTAACAACTGGGGCACAATACAAACGAGTTGATACTTGCAATAGCTGACGTTGGTGGAGCACTTACTTGGGGTAGCCCCCGTGCTAAAAATTGGACTCACGGCGCTGTGAGCCTCAGGCGCGCCTGGAGAGGAGGCTCTTGTTACCCCAGCCTTACCCTCCGGGGAGTGAAGGCTCGTCAGAGCTGGGAGAGGTGGACTCAGGATTCGAACCCACGCCGGTTGGATGCCTGACCCCAGGCTTCTGACTGAATCTTAACCTAAGACGGGCTGGCCGCTCCGGGAGGGCAGCATTTCCCTTGCCCCTTGGTTCGTCCCAGCCTCCATCCCACACGGGATAGGATTTTCTTGGCACACACCCTCAGCCCTCCTATAATATCTCCTCAGGCAGGCTCCGGGAAACCTGAGGATATCGATTTTATGTTTATCTTCCACTTTAATTTTATTTTTAACCTCTCTACAAATGTCTACATTTTGTGATATTTGTTTCCCTCAAATTTAATAACCGCACCACCGAATGTAATTGCCTCTTGCTTATCGTTACAGAACAGGCCACCTGGAGAGAAAGCCCGTCACGTGAACTTTACTTTGAACCAGCTCTTCTCCCTCTGGTTCAATGAGGCCGGGTTGAGCATCTTCCTTGGGGCGCTGGGGATACAGGAAGAGCAACCAACAGTCCTTCCCCCAGGAGATCACACAATCCTCTAATTGTGCTAGAGAGCCTTTGAAAAGAAGCCAAACTATGTTTTCTGCAACTACAGATGCATCTGGGCATTAACAGTGGGAAAAGTTAATTGGTAGGAGCTTAATTTTAAATTGTCTGAAGGTCAGGGTCCAGTCTCAGAATCACAGGTGCCTCAGCCCTGACCTGAGAAGGACATTCCTGAATTCCTCACCTGACTTTGCCAGCCCTCCTCCATCTCAGGCAGATGTCTTTCTCATCTTTTCTGCACTGCTGCTCCACCACAAGCAAGCGCCCTTTCAGCCCAACCAACTGGCCTCTTAATGTGCTGAGCACTTCTTGACTCCGGGCATTTGCCTGTGCTGTCCCCTCTAAGACTAAGTCCTGCTCTTTCTTTGGAGCTCAGCTTCCACTTCTCCTTCAGGCAGGACCTTATACCTCTGACTCCTGTCACTCGTCACTCCTGTGGCAGTTACTTGCACACACCTGTTGATAGATTGTGTGGCAGGGTTAAACTTTTCTTACATTTGTACTGCCTTTTCTTTGAAGGCAATAACAGGGTTCCACATTCTGTTGATAATTCTCGAAAGGCAGTGCTCATATATATATAACAGGTGCTCAATGTGGACATCGTAGGATTCCCAAGCTGGATGCAGCATCTGAGATCACTCACTGTATGAAGGGTGGATGGATTGATGGATGGATGGATAGATGAATGAATGAAGGAGTGGAGAGAGGATGGATGGATAGAGGAAGGAATGGAGAGATGAGAGAGGAAGAGATGGAGAGATGGAGGAGGCAGGGAGGGAGAGATGAAGGGATGGAAGGATGACGGGAGGAGGAGGTGGAGAGAGGGATGGATGGATGGAGGAAGGGATGGGTGGAGGAAAGGGCGGAGAGATGGAGGAAAAGATGGATGAGGAAGGGATGGAGGGATGGATGGAGAGATAGATGGAAGGATGGATGGAGGAAGGGATGGAGAGATAGAAGGAGGGATGGCGGAATTCATTTGAACAAAGCAGTCCCTAGCATATAGTAGGTCCACAAAAATATTTGTTGAGTGAATGCCTGGTGCTTCTCCGCACAGAAGGACCTACAGGACAGGGACAGGAAGCAGAGGGAGGGGCTGCACCTCCCTTTTGGCAGCGAGCCCAGACAGACAGATGTTCACTCTCTTGAATTGTATAACAAGGGAGCACAGATGTGTAGTAACAAAACACAATGACCAATTTGTTCAAGTACCAAAGGTTTTGTCTAGCTCCCCAAAGGGGACGAATAGCAAAATAAAAGGCAGTTACTGAGAGGTGGAGCAAGGAGCCAGGATAGGATGCGTCCCATGCTGCATGGAAGATGAGCCCCAAACGTCATGGTGTGGCAGGGACTGTTGGAAATGAGGGGCCAAAGCGCTGGCCTTGAGTGAAACAGCCTCTGAGAGTGGAGCCCAGGATGCTGCATTTGACGGAAGCTTCCCTGGGGAAGCTGATGCACACGCAAGATGGAAAACTCCAAAAGGGGCCCAGTGTGGACCCTGTTGGAGACGAAGGCCCTGGACTTGAAAGAAGGGCATACGGGGTCTGGTTTGCCTGTTACAGGTCATGCTAGCTGTGAAGCGTGGAGGATGGGTTGGAATGTCCGAGACTGGTGGCTGTGGGACGGTGAGGGCTACTGTCATTGTCCAGGGGCCAGGGAGAAGGGTCTCAACTGGGGCGGCAGCAGTGTGGTCAGAGAGCTGGAGACGGACAGCGGGTGTGGCTAGAGCTGTGGGAAGCATCCAGTCCTCCCCGCTTCCCTTCTGTCAACCTGCTGGGCTCAGGGCTGCCTGGCAGGCTCCATGGCAGGTGAGGCACACAGCCTCGGCCACCCCAAGCAGGCCCTGCCCCGGGCACCCCTGAAGGCTAACCTGATGAGGTTTCTCTTCAGCTTTCAGGGCACGTTGGAAGCGGGACCAGGACTGGCCAAATAACTAGCACCTAACCTCACAGTGGGCAGAGGAACAGAAAGATAGATGGCATGGTCCAAAGGGGCCGGGAAGACCTCCCCAGCCCCCAAGTCTTTTCTCTTCCAGTTCCTCCCATTTATTCAATTGATGTTTAATGAACTCCTACTGTGTGCCAGGCCCTGGGAATAACCAGAGTGTAGGTCCTGCTCAGAAGGAGCTCAGAGGCTGCTGCCATCCCGACAAGAAGACGTGGACTGTGCCCAGAGTGGGGACACTGTAACTCCACCCGAGGGAGAAGGCGTCACAGGGGGTGTGTCCGGTCAGCTCAGCCGCCAGAACAAAATACTGCGGCCGGGGCATTTAGACAGCAGGCTTTTCTTAGTCACGGTTCTGGGGGCTGGAAGTCCAAGATCAAGGTGCTGGCAGACTGGGTTCCGAAGGCTCTCTTCCCAGCTTGCAGGTGGCAGCCTTATCCCCCGTGTCCTCACAAGGCAGAGAGAGAGAGCCCTGGTTTCCCTCTTCTTATAATGAGGCTAATCCCACCCTGGGGGCCCCACCTTCATGGCTTTGTCTACACTCAATGACTTCCTCAAGGCCCCACCTCCAAATACCATCGCATTGGGGGTTAGGGCTTCAACATGACAAATAAAAATGGCAAGTAATAGGATATATTGGAATATATGAGGAAGCCATTTGGTGTAAACCTAATTCGGCCTGACCTTGTCTTTCCAAAAGGGCCTGACCGCAGCCGTTGACCATGCATTGTATATCTGCTTTAGAGATTCCCTATGGCAAGAACAAAGGCCCTTGAGATAAAGGTGCAACTTCCCTCCCCCTCCCAACGTTAGAGTCTCCTTAAGGATTAAGCATCTTTCCTTAGGCTAGGAACTGATTGCTGCGCTCACCTGTGACCGCCCAGCTCGAGACAATAGACTTGCCTCCTGCTACGCCCACCAAGAGAGCAGACCCACTACCTGCTGTGTCCATCAAGCGCTGTGCTGACAGGGCAATCTTGTGACTATTGTGGGAGGGACATTTGAATCATATGTGAAACACCCTCTTTGAGGGTATATAACCGCCCTATGTACCCCCACTTCTTTGGAGTGCTCTGTTCCTTTGTGGAAAGACTCTCCTGGGTTATAATCCTAACATTTAAGCTCAGAATAAACTCACCCAAATTTTCATTTATAGATTGGCTATGGATTATTTTCGTCGACAAACATATGGATTTTGGAGGGACACAAACGGTCAGTCCACAACGAGGAGAGCTCAGCCTTGAGGGGTGAGTAGGAGTTCACCAGGAGAAGTGGTGGGGGAGGGGCTCCTAAGCAGAAGGAGGAGGGAACTGAACCTGCTCAGGGTCTGGAGAGCACAGGGCGTTCCTGGAAATAGGAGTTCAATGGGGCCAGAGCAGAAACAAGCAGGGTCTGGGGGTGGGGGTGTGGGAGAAGAGGCTGGAAGGGGGCATGGGAGGTGTCTGAGGCCCTCGGGTATTCCTATTCCAGCCTTACCTACGCCCTTGGGGAGCCAAACATGCCCTCACCTCTCACAGGGCCCAGGAGCCCTTTCAACCCTGCGGGAAATCTGTAAGCTGGACCCACTCGTTGGGGGATGTGGTCAAGAGACCAGCAGTCAAAGGCTGGTGGGGTTTGGTGTTTCGTCCAACCCAGGTCCCGAGCACTGAGGGCTGTGCCAGGGGGTATGACGGTGAGTGAGCTCCCCGCAGCCCTCCTGGGGTTCCAGTGGGGGATGCCATGGTTTCTATGAGAGCCAGGAGGCAGGGGGAGAGGAGCAGCATCCCAAACTGCCCATCCCGCTTTCCGTGGCTCTGCAGGGCTGCCCCGCACCCTGGGCTTGCCCCCGTGGGCATCATCGTGCGACAGCTGGGGGCTGCTTCCAGTCTCGCCCCCTTCACTCATTAGTTTCTAAAGCGAGGAGTGTGTGGGGGTTATACTCCCTCTTTCTCCTCCCTCGGGGCTTTTGCGAAGCCTAAAAGGGGATAATTAGAAAAGTCAAAGTCAGTGACATCCTGACTTCCTCCAGAAGGTCTGGAAACACTCCCTGCCCTGTGTACTGTCGCCCAGTGGCCACACGGGGGCGCCGAGGCTGTGCCTGGAGATGGAGGGTGGAGGAACCAGCCGGTTTCTAAAGCCTTGAATCCTAAAATCTCAGGCCGAGACCACTATATAAATTAGAAGTAATATTTGAATGCTATTTCCTACCTGACGGGGTGCTTTCACATCTACCATCTCATATTGTCTCCGAGAGGCCCCCACGAGGCCCCTGCCCTTGGCTGCCGGCAGGGCTGGCCTTTAAACCGTCTCAGAGGGGAGCTGTTAACTGAATCTTAGAGGTTTTCGGCAGGGACAGTGTGGAGTCCCTCTGGCTGGACTTGGTTACCGAGGAGAAGGATGGGAGGGAGGAAGGAGGTGGGGTGCAGGCGTTGGGGCTGGCGTTTTTTGGGAGGAGCCCAAGATGGCTAAAGGCAGGCAGGTTACTCCCCCTTTCCCAGCCCCAGAGTCCGAGAGAACCTCAGCTGTCCCTGAGGGGCACAGGGGTTTAACGCTCTCACAGCCGCTGTGCTACAAGCCCCAAAGCACCACTGGTGGGACCAGAGCGGCATTTCTCAAACTCGTCATTGCTGACCGTTGGGACCAGATCATTCTCTGCTGGGGCGGGGGGTGGGGGGGTTGGTATTGTGAACATTGTAGGATGTTAGAACTCCCTGGCCTCTACCCACCAGATGCCAGACCCTTGCAACTATGACAACACATCTCCAGACATTGCCAATTGTTCCCCGGGGGGCAAGGTTGCTCCTTGTTGAGAACCAGTGGACTAGAAGGACAAAACCAAGACAACGTTCTTTATACAATGGTGTCTGTTCTGTGCCTGTGGCCAGGTTACTCCTGGGCCCAGGCCACCATCTCTGCACGTTGTGCCCATTTTCACATTCAGCCCAGCCCTTTCTCTGGGATGCCCAAAGGTCAGCATTCCCTTCTGCTGCCTCTGCTTGGTCCCTGGCCGGCTGGCAAGGTGGGCTGTGGGCAGGCAGGCAGCAGGAGCACATGGCAGCCACATGGGCCAGAAGCCCTGAGCCTTGGGAACAGTGTGCTTCTCCGCGGGAGGACCTTTCCCAGCAGGAGGCCTTGCGAAGGGGTGAGGGGGGGGGGCGGGAGGAGTGGGGGTGGGAGAAAGTGCCCACTGTTAAGGGGCCTGTAAGACAGCCAGTGCGCACCCGCCCAGACAGCTCAGGGACTGATGAAATGGGTTCCGTCTGTCTTTAGAGAGCTCCTTCTGTTGGCCAGGCACCGTCCTAGGGGCCTTCTCTGTCACGCAACATCCTTTCAACACACTTTTATGTCGCTCCAGCTTTGGACCAGGCCCTGGGCAGGTGGTGAAGACACAGAAATAGCATCCTGTCCTGTCTCTGTCCCCATCTCAAGGAACTCACAGACTAGAGGGGAGGCAGGGATAAGGCGGTAAGTGCTTCTCACTGTGGGACCGGATGGGGGCCATGGGACTGTTTAGGCTGGGGATGGGATGAGTCCGGGGAAATCCTCCAGGAGGAAGTAACAAAGATGCTGATTCACAGCAGAGAGAGCCCACCCAACACACTCAGAGCCAATGCTAATGTGTGAAAACCCTCACAGCAGATATGTTCCAGGGCGACTGGAATAAAGCTGCAATCAGACTGAGTGGCATCAATCCAGGAGGTCTTCCTGGAGGAGGCATTGTGATCGGGAGGGAAGAAAACCGTTCCTGGAGACAGGTAGTCTTGGATTCAAATCCAGCATCTGGCTGGGAGATTTTGAATGAGTCTCCTGGCACCTCAGCCTCAGTCTCTGTCGAGGAGGGTTATGAATCCCTCCTTCCAAGGCTTCCAGGCCACGGTGCCAAGTGCGCATAGCCTGCACAGCTGTCTGCAGCTGCCCTGCCTTGCTTATGAGAAACCAGAAGACACGAGGAACAGAAAGCCCTTAGCCCCAAAGCTGGCTCTGTGACTGTTGATTGAATGTGAGTCCAAGGCAAGAGTTGCCAACGGATTTGGAGAACTGTAACCGGGAGAGGGCCCTCCCTCCCCCAGACCTGGGACAGCCGCCTGGTCTTCTTCAGTAGGGGGCGGTCAGGGTTGACACGTGACACCTCCTCAACTCCCCTGCCTCCACCGGCCCCTTCCGCTCCGGGAACTGCTCCCATGACGTCCAGCCTGCTACCGCAAAAAGGATAGACCAGACGACGGCCACTGGCAGGGAGGAAAATAATCCCGGGCCAGAGGAGAATCCATCTTGAACGGAAGGGACAAGCACCCTCTCATATATCAACATGTGCCAGGGTGAGGGGACATCAGAGTGAGAAGGAAAAGGGCACAGTCCCTTCAAGTAAGGGCCAGGGGGCCAGCCTCTCGGCTTGTATATATCGTGCATTATGCAGTGGGAGAGAGAAAATCAATAGAGCTGTCAGCAGTTTAATGCATGCAGTGTTGCAGACGTCCCCATCTCCGGGTGCTCCAGACGGATGCCTCAAATTAAAAACCAGGGGAGGGGGAGAGGGGCTGAAGGAGGTGTGAGATAAACACCCTGACAGACCAGAGGGGAAGAAGGGACACGACTGAGGACCTGGGAAAATTAAAGTCCATAAATCATGCGGCTCGGAGAGCATCCCGGGGTGAATGACAGGAGACCCTTACTGTCAGCAGTGGTGTCCCAGGTCTTGGCAGTCCCGGAGGAAGGGGAGAGTGTGGGTGTTAAGTGTTAATGCCGCATGGGAGTGAGGGGGTAGGGTTGGAAGCAGCAGGGTGAGATGAATGCCAACCTCATAAGCTGGAGTGTGGGTGGAGGTCCTTTGGGTTGGGGCCGCTGGTGGGTTGCAGGACCTCCACTGGAGGCAGAACTTGCTCCCTACCAACTTCTCCCTCCCACTAAGTCTGGTCTCCACCGGCTCAACCCATGGGCTCCCAGCCTGTGCTGAGATTCTGCCAGCTGAGCCCCGCCCATGTCTCCTCTCTGTCCCTGTCTGTCTGACAGCACCCGTTTCTCTAGATCTCCCTGTCTGTGTGAGTCCATCTTGCCCACTGGGTGCCTCATCCTCAGAGCTGGGAGCCTTCTGCCCCCTCACAGTGAGCGCTTCTCTTCACTGGCCCTGTGTGTGTGTGTGTGTGGGGGGGCTGCCCCGGCCCCTCCTCTGAGCCCCTGGATGGTGACCCCTGTAGGGGAGTCTGAGTGGTCCACGTGCCCTTCCCAGAGCTGGCCAGCTGGTGTGGAGACTCTGGGAAGGACTCTGGGTGCACTCAGGGCCCCCAACCCTTCCCAGAAGGCAGCCATCATCCTCCCCACCCCGCAGCCACCACCCCAGGACCCTCTTGCTCAGGGCGGGCCAAGAGAGAAAAAAACCAGGCCAGGCCACGCTGGGGTATCGAGGGCCAGACAGTGCTGGTTCCAGGAGAGAGCCACTTCCTGCCAACACCGTCCCCCACCGCCTCAGAAAGCTTCCAGGTCCTGACAGGAAACAGGTGCAGCAAGACTGGGAGACTGGAGGATAATTTGAATAAAGGAACTGCCACTGGGCCTGAGGGTGGGCGGGGGCGTCACCTGACCCGACGGCTGGGCAGTGTGGGGGAGGGGCTGCTTGACTGATGGGGGGCTGGGACCTTCAGCCAAGGTCTTGCTCTGCCAGCGGCCACCTCTCCCTCCCTCCCTCACTTTCTCTCTCTGATCTCCTGCGGGGCATCTTTAGGGCAGTATGGCTGAACCCCACAGGTTCGCTGCCGTCACCCTGGGGGCAAGGAGCAGGGTGGAGGCACGGACCTGGAGGGACAATGGAAGACGTCCCGTCCACCCGCTCCTCCACGTAGAGGGTCTACCTCCACCCTGGGGGTGGCCTTATGACCTCATGTGGCCGTGACAATGTCTCCTTCGTGGTCTCAAGTCTGAGAAGTCCCGCCGGGCTCACTCGACTCCCTTCCGTTCCGTCCATCATCCAAGCGGCCCCCACACTCCCTCATCCCCCGAACCCAGGCCTCGTCTTCAGTCTTAGGTGCCTGTCAACAGGCGCACGCGCGCTCTGGCCGGCGCGTCCACGGTGCGCGCGCACAGCCACGCGGGCCGTGTTTCCAGAGCAACAGGTAGGCCCGAGGTTGCTTCGTCGTGTTACATCGCCCAGGACAAGTTCTACCAATTAAACTAGTGACCCTGTTTCCAAAAGCAATTACCGGGGTCCTGCAATAGCTCCCAAGGTGAGGAGATTAAAGAGAGCGCTCAAGGCTGCCAAACGAGGCTGGAAGCAGGGGCCGGAGCGGGGTCTGCGGGCCGCACCGCGCGCATGCGCGCGTGCACCTGGCTCTGAGCACGTGCACACTTAGAGAGAGAGGGAGGGAGTCGTGTGGAGGAAGCCCGAGCTGGGGGAGGGAGACGGCCCGGGGTCGCAGCCGTGGACGCCGGCAGCCGCATAGTGAGGGCGAGAAGTGGGTTCTTTCTGTTTCTTTCTCTGGTGTGTGCGAGCAGGGAAAATCAATTCGTACGAATGCAGACTCCATCCCAGGGGACAGGGAGGCGGCGTGCCTCTTTGTAAGCAAGGAGGAGCGAATCGGCAGGGGTCTCCGTGGTGGGAAAACTTTGCCACCGCCTCCTCCCCAGAGGCTCACCGCGGCCGCCCCGCTCCCGTGTCGCAGGAATCCAGCGTCCTTGGAGGAGGAAGGATGGAGGCAGACGTGGCCGGGCCAGCCTCCTGCCTGGCTGAGCATTGGGGAAGGGGGGTTTCCACAGGCGCACGGCTGCTCCCCACAGTCTGCACCTCCAAGTGATGGCTCTGCTCGCGCCCCCCACCTGCTCTCTGGGGCACCTGCTGAGGTGACACGGGTTGTTCCCTTCGCTCTGTCATCCTTCCCCTTAGATGTAGCCTGTGGCTTCCGGAAAGAGTCAGCCTCAGGGGCTGAGGGGCAGGGGCTAGAAGGTGGGTGGAGGTGGAGGGGCGGGCTGGACGCTGGCTGGGTCAAGGCCCTGCTCCTGTCCACTTCCTGCTTCCCTTCCTGTTGGGAGTTCTGCTCCAGCCGGTGCCTGACAGGCTGACCTGCTATTGATGGAACAGGACAGACGTAGCAGGTGGGGGAAGGGGGGGCTTGTTAATTACAGCAGGCAAGCCTTCAGCCAGGCCCCCTGGGAGGGCCGGGCAGGAGTGGCTGCAGTGGGTGGTCAGCGGTGCCCTAACCTCGGATTTAACCCTTCAAGGGGCCTGGGTAGGATTGGAAGAATGTCACTGTGTGTGGCTGACTGGAGTCGCACCAGACCTGGAGAGGAAGGCTGATGGGAGAGCCCTGAGGGACGCTGTTCTGTGGGTTCAGGATAGAATGGGGACAAAAGTTATTGTGTCGACTACCTTCCATGTGTCGGGTGCCACACCGGCTGCTCCATGAAGATCATCTTCTGTAATCCTCACACCAGCCCTAAACCTGGCAAGATTACAACCCGGATTTTACAGAAGAAGCTCCAGAAGCGCAGAGAGGTTAAGGGACATGCTCAAGGTCACACAGCTAGTAACTAGAGGAAAAGGATGCCTCATTACTTGGGCATGGAGTGTTTCCTTGCTGAATTCCTCCAAGCCTTTCGCCTCCCTCTCCAGGGGTCAGCTAGGTCACAAAAGTTGCTGAGAGAAAGACCACAACTGTGAGGTGATTCATTTAATTTACAAATATTTATTAAGCACCTCCTCTGTGCTACAACTGGGGATCTAGAGACGCATAAACATGTTTTCTGACCTCATGGGCCTTGCCTTCCAGCCTGGGAGATGGGCCAGCTCTGCCTGCCATCCTTCTCAGAGCCAGCCCCAGGGCTCCTGCAGAGGAGGCAGTGGGTGTGTGACCCCCCCACCCCATGACCATTGGACCCCACCCTGTGACCATGTGACCCCACTCCATGGCCACGTGACCCCATCCCATGACTGCGTGACCCCGCCTCATGGTCTCAGATGATTGGACTAAGCTGGGACAATCCTGGGTTTGGGATGGGAATTTAGAGACTCTGGTCTGTGGCTGATTGTTCTGGGATTTCATGCAAACTAGGGGGCAAGGGCGCTTCTCTGGCGGAAGCCACCATGGGGATGTGTAAGCAGAAGTCAGAGACCAGGTGGCTGCTGAGAAAGAGCAGCTGTTGCACAACTCCTATGCCTCTGAGAGCAGCTGAGCTTCCTGCCCCTGGGGACTGTGAGGTCCCCCCCACCACACACACATATTTCTCCTTTCTCCTGTAGCTGGTTTGAATTGGTTTCCATTTTTTGGAAACTGAATGGTCCGTAAGGTAGAAGTCTTGGTTGAGGCTGTGGGGGAAGAAGAAATACTCCTCTAGCCTCTGGGTCCTTCTGGCTTGTCTAGGAATTAAATTGACGTGAGACAGAATAACAGGAGAAAATCAAACAAGTTTAAGAACATGGATACAGGGGAGAAACCCAGGAAAGCTGAGCAACTCACCAAAACGGCTGAAGCCGCCGGCTTAAATACCATCTTCAGCTAAGGACAAAGGCGGATGTCGGGAGTAGTGGTTTGGGGCTTCAAAGGGGAGGAGGTAATTCACATGGAGATGGAAAAGCAAGTGTTTGGTAAACAAGTGTTTGCCGCACCTTGCAGAGACAATGGGACTTGATCAAATGGGCCTTGCTGGGTTCCTCCCTGTGTACCACACCTTGTTCATATTATACTATAGTTAACTGTGGTGATAGCTCCTTCCTGGAATGGGCCTTCTGTCTTAAATTCTGTTAGGCAGTTCGGGGGAAGGTCAAAGTTTCTTCCTGAGTCTTTTGTTCCTAAAAATAATCAAGCCAAAAAGACACATTTTGGGGTGGCAATTTCTGCTCCCCTGCCAGGCACACAAGCCCTGCAGAGCAGGAGCCCGGGGCAGGGGACTGCCCTCCCTCCGGGGGCCTCAACCAATGCCTGGGCTTCCAGCCGGCTGAGGAGAGAGACAGAGGAGACAATCTGTGGAGCCAGAGGAGAACCTGCCAGAGGCATCAGCCCAGACAGGGATGGGGACATATGCAAGTGTGTGACATGCTCAGGGACCTTCAGATGGGGGAGTGCTGGCAAATGTTTAAAATCTGGCTTTCTGACCAAAAAAAAGATAATTTGTAGCATTTGCCGATTCCTGAGGTAGAAATACTCCCACTATAGCCGATTTCAAGCTTGCTGATGTGATGTCAACTTTTGAACATGTAACAAGCAGCTCTCACAAGCTGGTAGGAGCCAGTTCCAGCAGGCCACACAGGAGGTCATCAGGTTATTCCCTCACTGCAGGGCCATGTGGGGAGGAAAGGAGAGGAGGCTGGAGAGGGGGGCTGAGACGTGATGGGGAAGGGTTTTGAATGTCACTTCAGGAGTGTGAGCTTCAGTGTGAAGTGGCAGAAGCCCAGGCCCTGATTGAGCAACTTCGGGTGTGTGTGAATCAGCAGCTGTACGCTGTCTGTTGTCCACTGTGGCCTGGCTTTCCCTTAAGCCGGTCCCCTGAATAACCCCTGGGGGTCTGTTTGGGCCTGGTGTTAGACCTGGTGAGGGGTGCACAGAGTGTGAGGTGCATTATTTCCTAAGAAAGAGGGAGAAGAGTTCTAACTCACCCCCAGCCAGCTGCACCTTGGGGCCATCCCTCATCTTAATGAGCCCATCCAAAGCTCGTTTGCTAATGAGGAATTTAATGGTCATAGACTGACAAGCGAGACCGAGAGGGGAGACAGGAAGGTCGTTATGAAAATGAAGTGTGTGGCTAAGTGCCATGCCGCTGCCATCCCACCTGCCTGCCCAAGGTGCCAGCCCAGAGGAGGTGAGGTGGGAAGCGGGGACCTCCAAACGGGGCTCCTGGCTGGGCCTGTGGGTCAGCACCACGGACAGGGGCAGCTTTGTTGTGCACTACCTCATCTGAAATGCCCTTTATGCTGCTTTCGCTCCCTGATCCAGTTTGTTTTTCCAATACTCTGATGGGACGTCCCCTCCACTTGGAAACCTCACATGCAGCCCCAGATGGGTTAGGGCCCACGGTGTCTGCACAGCAACCTTTGCACATTCTCGTAGGACCCATGTCAGGGGCTAGAATGCTACGTTTCCTGGGCTATTTTCCCCACCAGTTTGTAAGCACCTTGCCGGCGGGCTCTGTATTGTCCTCTCCACATCCTGAATGCTGACCACATGCCCAGCACTGTGCAAGGCATAGGGAGAGGATTTTTTGAGAAATGAATGCATGAATGAACCAGTGAGTAAATGAGTAGATAGAGGAGCGAGGGAAAGAATGCATGAATACCGTGTTTGATGAAACAATCAAGCCAGGTTATTGAAAGAGTGGGTAAGGGTTTGGGCACAAAAGAAATATTCTATCCCTTAGGTTGCATACACAAGACAGAGAGGGAAGTTAGAACAGAGATTTCCAGAAATCTCCACATCCACTCCCCCATTTTTCCACAGATAGAGAGCTATCCAGAATAAAAACTACACATTCCAGCATTCCTTGTAGCTATTTGTGGCCATGTGACTAACTTATAGCCAATAAGATATAAGGAGAAGTGGTGTAAAAGGAGGGAGCATGCCCTTCTCCTTCCCTTCCTCCTTCCTGTTGGCTGAACTATAGGGGTGATGGCTGGAGCTGGAGCAGCCATCTTAGACTTGGCAGCCGGCCAGCTTGGAGTAACACGGTGGAAGAAGGGAGAGTCTTTTGAGGACTGTGCAGAACAGAGCTTCTAGCCCAGCCCTGGGCTGCTAACATCCAGACTGCAATGGGAGAGAGAAATTAACCTGTAACATATTTTCCTGATATTTTAGGTTTCATTGCTTAGCTGAACCTAACCCTAAGTAATAAGCAGCATCATGAAAGAGAGACTCAAACATAAGAATAAAGGGCAAATCAAGTGATACAAACTATGGAAGTGAACATTGAGCAGGGTTGCCTGAGGTTAGCTGAGGGTGACAGGTCTTGAAGGAGGGAGGAGGCACAGGAGGAGTATGCTAGGGTAATTTTTAGAAT